GTCCAAAACTCATCATTTATAGTGAGGGAGTTGAAAGACGTGTGCAATATTTCAGTGGCCGTCTCTCTGTTTTGAAGTAATTCCCTGCAGTGGTTGTAAATGTAAAAATATTTGCTACACAATTTTAGCAGTTTGATTACTTCTAAGAATTCTCAGTATGAATAAATCAACTCAACTCCAGGACTATGAGAGCGTTAACTGTCTTATAATACCTCTTTATGCCTTGTCTTTGAAGTCCAATGCATTGTCATGGCTTATACAAATGCCAGGATTGTCTTTAGAGTACAGTATACAGTACTTGTTTTTTGTGTATTAGAACAAAACTAGCCTGGCCTTAGCCATCCGTACACTCTGGTCAATCATCATTTCCCTGCATGTAACGTCTGGGTCTGGTCCCTGTGTTTGCGATTACATCAGTAGAATTCCATCCGACCAATCAGAGAGCGCGGGAGGCGGGTGTTGGAGTTAGTTGTGGGTGACGTCAAGAGTTTGCGCCGAACGGGCAGGTCGTAGTTTGGCAATGGCGAAGAATACGATGGTAAAGTAATCCGGTCTGGTCTATCAAGAAATTGAAGCCGGAGCAAGACAAATGTTTAGCAAATGTAATTGCAGCAAAGATTGTGGCACTACTCCCCACGGGCTCTGTTAGCGGCAAAGAAGATGGCTAGGCTAAATGCTAAATGCTAACAACTCATGCTAATCTCAGATTCAATCGTTTCAATCTGCAAAAGAAGTTAACCCCTCCCACCTGTAAACGGAGCTCAATGGAGCGCCTCCAGACCTTAGTACGAAATGCAATTTGTACTATGGCGTGGTAGGACCAGGCTAGAACAAAACTAAGTGATCACACAGAAATGCCCCAAATTCATGTTGTTTATGCACCATGGGGGTAGAGATTGTGTCTGCTATTCTTTAACTCTACTATTTTTGGATGGTCTATGTCTGTATCCAAATATACCCCAGAGGTTTCTTGTGTACAAGCTGGAACCAACAACTACATTTATTACTAGAATAGCACTCGAAGAGCACAGACTGTCACCTGCAAATTCCGACAAATAAATCCTGTCTCCAGACGGGGACTGGGATTGCCTCAGTTCGTCTCTGGGCTGTTACGTAATTTTGTCCAAATCCTCCAATATCTTTTTGAGTTATGTTGCTCAAACCAGACAAACAAACAAACAAACAGTCAGACAGACAAACTCCAGGGATCACTTTACCTCCCGGGCAAAAGTAAATATTGACCATTATATTGAAACTAGATTAATATATTGGTCTCAGTTCAGATTTCCAGCATCTCTACTTGGTTTTAAATTCTTGTGCTAAAAATGGTGTGGAGAGAAGGATTTGAAATAATTATTTAATCTTTAATTCAGACACAGAAAGAGTCCATAACACACAAAAGCAGCCAACAAAAATACTGACAGCATAAATAAATATAGTGGGGGGGGATAGTGGGGGTGATCAAGCCCCAGCGATCCAAGATGGCGCCGTATTCAAATGAATGGTTTGTTCTCAGTGGTGCATTGTGCCAGCTTGGGACCGAAAGATTAGCAGAACTCGCCTGGAACTCGCAAAGATCCATGGGAACTCACCTGTATTTGGGCATCGCCTGGTCCTCCCTGTTCTGCGCAGTGGATGAACTCCCATGATGCGTTGCGCCAAATACGCGTGTGGCTCTCATGCACGTGCACAGAGGGGCTCGGCCGTGCTCTGACCAATCAGAGCAGTTCATCAGAGCGGGAGTTTAAGAAGAAAAAAAGTTCAGGATGACAAGGGACACTAAAATCCCCACAAAATCCAACCTTTATGAAAGCTGTAGGTTCTCTGTCAGCTGAGTTCGAGCTGTTTTAGTTTACATTGAGTTCTATGGGGAAAATTTTTGGGTAGTGACTTTGGTCTTGTTTAGTCTGCAGTACCGCGAGAATCCCCCCGAGCACATGGATTCTTCAGCTCCAAGCTAGTAATACCCTACCCAGTTATTTCAATAGATCCATGGGGCTCCCCCTCCCCTCCCCATGAGTGAAGAGCGAGGCCAGCGTGCAGCTTTAAATTAATACCAAACAATGACTTTTGTTAGATCTGTTTGGGTGGTCATAATCTTATGGCTGGTTATTACAATACAAGAGAGTCAACCTGCCTTAACACCAGAGAAAGAAATTAGTGTCCCCTATACACTCTCCATGTTTCATATACTGTCTGTAATTAATATGAACTTGCACATTTGCTTTCACAAGACTGCCTGTCAAATCTTTCTCAAGTGCAAATTAGCAGGTGTTAGCACAAAAAAGGAAAAGGCTTCTCACTCGTTCACACGGAGGTAAATTGAAACATCGGCTTCTAATTACTCCCCAAGTAGTGCGCTACACCACTGCCCCGGTAACCACGGCAACGGCAGCTGCGGCAAACAGGTCCCCATGAAGTGTGGGGTATATTTAGAGTCGACGGAATGACCTACAACGCGGCGTGAAGGAGCTGGACGGGTCAGAGCGCGGTTCATTGGATAATTTTACGTGTTTTAATGGTATCTCAATAAACAGAAGAAAATGTGAGTTTATGGGCATTATGGACTTATACAGATTAGTGTAAGAATCTACTCGGAAAGTAGGATTTGAAGTAAATTGGTTTGAATGTATATATTTCAAACCTACACATCACATATTTATAAAGCTTCACAAGCAAACAAAAATAACATGCTTATTCTAGACAACTTTTGTAATGCAGGAATAGGAAATGTGTTTGAAGAAAGACATTAAACAAAAGGAGATTGTTTGGAGAGAGAAATCACTGAGCATTATACATGCTTATACAAACACTTTACATATTAGTAAGTAAGTAAGTAAGTAAGTTTTTATTTATATACCGCCTTTTCACTGCAGATCAGAGTGCTATCCACTCAGCCACCGTGCCGCCCCATATTCTTATGAAGCACAGTGATGCTTCTAATGATTCATTCAATATAATACCATATTAGTTTATGGTGAGGATGCATTGCTTTTATGTCAGGCTGCGGGATAAGGCCAGTAAAATCTTCATTTTATTGCCCCATTTGGACAAGTCCTCGAAGACCACTGTTTCAGTAGTGGTCTCATAAAATCAACCCTTTCCTTATTAGGATTATGTCTAACTCTTATGGACCAATGGCTTTATGTGTTTTTTATCATTGCATTTCTTGTATTTGAACTGTTTGAATCTCTGATCTAAGTTGGTCAATTCAAATATTTTATGAAGTCCTCCGTGATAACTACTTTTGTGATTTAGGGCTATACAAGAATACATTGAATTGAATTGAATTAACGCTTGTTCTTCACATCAAGAAGGTCCTCAGTTCAATTCCACCTCAAAAGGGGGCCTTGCATGTTCTCCCTGTGTCTGTGTAGGTTTCCTCCGGGTGCTCCGGTTTCCCCTCCGGGTTAGAGACTCTGATGCCCCAGGTGTTCGGCGTCTCACTTCTGTCATAACGGCACAGTTAGAGCTGACTCTATGACTCAATATATTCATTCCTTCAATCCAAATAATTGTCAGAAATAAGTGAGCTTGGACTGGATAAATACTGGCATATTTCATTATTTGTCAATTCAGAAAATCATTACTGAATGTCCTTGCTCCCCACTCTCTTGCTTATTAGGTTTACTGTGCGGTCTGAAGGTAATTGACAAAATACAATAAAACATTAGTGAATATTGGACCCGGATGCAGGAATAACGATGCAGCTGAGATGAGTCAATAGCTTTAGAGGATAAAACCCCAGTCACTGAGGATCCATGAATATTCACGACCACCGCGCGCTCCCATTCTCCTGTGTGGCGAGATGCTCACACACACTGAAGTCACTCGTGGTAAACAATTTGCAGGCGTCATGAAAAGCAGAGTGGAAGTGGTCCGGAGGGATGGGGGGATGGGGGGGCAGCAGCGATGATTAGCCTGTGGGCTCCAGAGAACTGCCATCAGAGCCGGACTCTACAGTACAACAGTGTGGTACAGCCCCAGTGCGCTGCGCAGTGAGCAGAAAGCATGAGTCAGCAGAATACTCCCCTCCATAGACACACACGTACAAACGCACACACACACACACACGCACACACACACACACACACACACACACACACACACACACGCACAGATACACACACACACGGAGCCTCGGGCCGATGAGACAGACAGACTGCAGGCTCAGCTGTCTGTGCATGGCTTTATGTGCACTCACACGAACAAAGAAAAGAGCCACACTATCTACAGTCATTATTAAAGCTATTTTTATTATATTACAATCCCCTATGATTAGATGTATTCGGGATAAAGATGCCACTGTTCCTGAATCCAAGACTCTGGATTCCCATAAAATTGTTCTTAGACTTTTCATTTAATTTTTTCTGCTTCGGATTTTGGTTTTCCTCATCTCTTTTAAAGTAAACTTGACTGTTTCACATCAAATTTCTGAGAAGAAAAAAATCTTTTACACGTATTATTAATTCGCTCCATTCACAATGGAACAAAAACAAATTCTACTGTTGCCTCAGTGCCCTGTGGCCATCTGATGAAAGAGAGGCTCCCTCCGACACCGGACTCATACTGAGCAATTTGTGTGGAGTGTCTTGACTAAAGACACAAAAACAGTTTGGCTCAGCCATAGCTGCCCAAATGTGACATCTGGTGTTCCCAGAGGTCTCCCATCACAGTACTAACCACACCCTGCCCTGCTTAGATTCTGAGGTCTGACAGGATTATGCTTTCTATCTAAGATAATAAAATTATGAGAAATGAGGTTTTCCCAAGCAGCCGTTTAAGTATGTTCCATTTCATAATTTATCTTTCAAGGTCACTGTCTTTGCTGCCCTGCAGCTATATCTCCAGTTCCACATTATTGCTCTATGACAACACCAGCTACTGCTACTTATCAGTCCTCCTGATATCATTCACTTCTACAGGAACAATGCTACATTATAAAAGTCCTGTAAAAGTAACGTGTTGTCCTCCTCCTGTGTGCAGGGTGCTAGAGAGTGATGTCGGGGGGAGAGGACCGGGATGGAGAGGCGTCCGCGCCCCTGTATGTGTACGAGTCCAAGGTGCACTGTGCCAACGTGCTGCTGAGCCTGGAGGAGCAGCGGCGCCAGGGCGTGCTCTGTGACGTCACGGTGTTGGTGGAGGGCCGTGAGGTGCGGGCGCACCGGGCCGTGCTCGCCGCCAGTAGCCGCTACTTCCTCCAGGCACTCCTGCACAACGGCAGCACGGAGAGCGAGCTGGTCATCACCCTGCCCGACAAGGTATGTGTCAAAGTGCTCTTCAAGCATCAAGGTTACTATGGTTACTTCTCTTTTTTATTTTGACCTGACTTTATCACAACATCAAACTCAATATCAACCAGCCACAAGGTCAAAGATCATCATCATAAACAAGTAAACACAGTACTATTCTGATTAAATGTAATCTTCCATTTTGTTTTGCTACATTCAAAGGGGGGGGGGTCTGTCTCGAGATCATCTGCTCGTATGCTTCTGTGGAAATGTTTTTTAATTGGCCCATAAAATATATATTCACAGAGAGAGTTCCTACATATGCTTTTCAAAAGGTGTTTGAAATATGAGTACAAATTGTCCGTTGTTTTGGAAAGTGAGAAATCTAAAGAATGGATCTGAATCTAGGAAAGTGCTACTTTACCGATTTGGAGCTCGCCACATCGATCCAACACTTTGATGTGTTTTAAGGACACTTCTCCACATTATCTCATTGTCCACAAAGTTGGCTGCAGCTCTTATCTTGCTGAGTAATGCTCTTTCTATTGCTGACTCATTGTTCTTTCCGTGGTGCCTTTGACACTCTGGGCACTGGTCCCATGGTCGATTTCTGTCCAGCTTGGCCTGATGTTATTGTTGTACTTTGGGTGAATAGTGGGCTAATTTACTTTGACACAAGAGGCTCTGCAGCATGGACCGGTCAATACATATGCACCGCCTGCTAATGCCCACTGCTCTCGTAACACACGCAATGATAGTATTACTGATCGTTCACAGGGAGGTCTGTCAACAGGTTCGAGATTGGAAAAAAAATTAGACTTAAGATATTCTCACATTAAGTAAAAAAGATACTGAAATTTGGCTGATATCAATAATAGTAATAATAATGCATTGGTTTTATACAGCGCTTTTCAGGACTCAAAGATGCTTTACATGTCATTATTCTTTCACCCTTCTGGCCCTTCTGACCACCACCACCCATTCACATACACCAGACACATTCTAGGCAATGTGGGTGAAGTGTCTTGCCTAAAGACACAATAACAGTTTTGGCACTTTACAGCTGCAGCCGCCCCACTGTGGCACCTGGTGTTCCCATAGGTCTCCCATCACAATACTAGCTATGCTCTGCCTTGCATAGTTTCAGGGATCTGATGAAATCTGGCTTTCGCATTCAAGCATGGCCACAAATAGCAAGTTTAATATAAGTTATATAAGTGAATGAATGAATGATGCCTTTATCAGTCCAACAGTGGGACTAATAAGTATTAAAAGCTAGAGATAGATAGATACTTGATTGAGCCCAGTAGGAGAAATTAAGGTGTCCAGTAGGAGCAGAAACACATGCATTCATACAAGCAAAACAAATCAATAGATAATTCTTAAAATAGCTAACAATAGTAATAAAATGCAACAGCGCTTCAGGTCAGAGGCTCAGAGGTGGAGCAGTTGCTTGGTTCGGAAAATTTTCTCGGCTCTAGTCCAAAGTGAGATGCTGAATTCCTTTATTAGCATGTTATATTACGTATTATTAGTTAAAAATATGACGTATTATTAACTTAAAATAGATAATCCATGGCATTAAATCTGACAAAGGAATTGTAATAGCACATCTTACCCCTTTTTAAGATTTCATAGCAATATAACAATACAATAAACTATAAAACAATATTTGTCAGCTCTGTTTTTTTGGTAGTGAGTCACGACCACTGGTGCTGGCAAAATGTTTCTATGGAGACAATAAAGCATACCCTAAAGCTTAAATTTACATAATCTGGTTGTCTTGGAATGTGTATGTAATTGCCAAAGACAAATGTCTGTCGTCACTATGCATCATAGGGTCATTTACTGACTTTGTTGTTTACAATGTGCCTTCAGTTAGATTGCAGCATGTTGGATTTAGACCTTAACCTAACAGGTCAATAGAGTCAAATGATTTCCCATTCTGAAACCTAAAATTTCAAATATATAGAAAAACACAAACAGTGCATCATCTGTTGTTGATTTGGCTTCATATTTTTAACACTAAGTTGCATCACTACCACTGCAACAGCAGCTTTGACCTGCTCCGGACGGGAGGGTCAGAGGAAGGGCGCAGGAGGAAGCAGCCAGGGTGACTCAAATTGATCTGTTTATGAGGAGGTGTCTGGTGTGAATATTAATGTTGTTGGCCTGCATTTTCCAGCCTCCCTTTCTCTCCCCCCTGCACCGGTGCGGGCGATCGGGGGAACGACATCTCCTCCCAGTGGTGGCCATTACCATACACTGGCCTAGATCTGTCATATTGATTAATTTGTCTGTGTGGTTCTACCGTATGCAGTAATCACTCACATGGCTCAACGCTTAACCAATCAAAGCCATCCCATAATGGCTGTAAATGTAGTTTTATTTTCAGACTGCCCTCGCACTTAGCCGCTCCTCAATTACATGGAGCTATTTACAGGAATCGCCCAATGTCCAGTCCAATCAATTGTTATAACAGATAACATGATGTACTTCACATAACATTTTCTACAATTCTTTGTGGCACCTACAGTACTCTCCATGAAAACATAAGATAAAAAACTATCTCTGTGAGCAGACTCGCCTCTCCGCAGAGCTAACCTGTAACTTAAGTCTACAAAGATAGATACATTCTTAACCCTTGTGCTATCCTCAGGTCAAAATGACAAACCACAGTTATACAAGTAGAAGAAAAATACTTTCAATTAGGATTTGACCCAAGGACAGCACAAGGGGTAAGGCTGTAGTGTAACATTTTCCTGGCAGAGTAACGTGGGAAAAGCAGGGGGTGGAATAAGTTGCATATTTTACCTAAAACTTTTTTTTTAGGGCCAGTTACATTTTCTCTCGTTCAAGGTCTTCCTCTTTGAATCACAAAAGTATCTTACAGTGAGTTCGTTATCAGAATGATTGATGTATTAAAAAGGCACTCAGTAAAATCCTAAACAGAGATCTACTGACGTGTTGTTCATGAAAGATCTATTTAGTCACATATTGTCTGAATTAATACTTGAAATAGTACAGTAAGAGACATTTAACAAACATCAAGAGGAATCTGTTTTCTTTATGCGTGAACATTTTTTACCGTATCGCACTGAGGCCAGCAGACATGTCAGATTGTTGGTAATCGCAATCATTATTGATTCACAACTGGGATTTTTTCATTTTTATAGCATAAAGTTATGCTGCATGTAGGTTAAATGAGCTCAAAGTATGACTAAAATGTCAAAAAATGATTTGTACAATAGGAAGTAAGTAAGTAATGTTTATTTTTATAGTGCCTTTCACAGACAGACTCACAAAGAGCCTGTTTAGTTTTAGTAGTTTTAGTTTAGGCTCAGATGATAGTTTGTGGAGTTTTTGATATTAATAGAAGTGCTTTGGATGTACTTTGGAAACTAAATTCTACAAATGTATGTCCATGCCTACATACAGGGAACCATCATAAAATCATAGATAACCTTTTTTTTGTAGAATATAAGATTTTATTTTACAAAGAATTTCCAGATATTAACAGATTTAAGAGAGGCATTTATTTGTTTTTAAGATATAAAAGGTTTTGCTCACTTGTTTTTGTAGGAGTAAAGATGACCTTTTTCATGCATGTCCCTATATTTTTTTCACTTCTATACCTTGTTTGCACCTTGAGCAGTGTTTTAACAGCCATTCATGGACCTCTTTCAAACAAGCAGCAACGTTGGACAAGGCAACAACATATACAGTTCTTTCTCTAGAAGCAAAGATTCCAGGCTCCCTTTTTCTGCAAACATAAAATAACAGATTTTATAACAAGTATATAATATAAAGTACAAAGTCATTCGATGAATATTTTGAATGTATGCCTTTAGATCTATTTCTTTTACTTTAAACCTTGTTTGTACCTTGAGCAAAAGCAAATTCCTAGTTGCGATCTCCTATTATTTACAAAATACAATTGGAGTGAGACTATGGAACAACTTAGACGACACATTTAATAACTCCTGCACACTTTAAACGTTTGAAAAATACCATTAAACATAAGCCCAAGAATGATAGGTCTGGCAGCTCTCCTACATATCTAATAAGACAGTTTACCGCTTTTTCTTTTTTGTTGTTAAAATATTGAAAGAAAATCTTTTTAACTGTGTCTCATATTATTTGTATGCTATTATAAATAATTGTTCCTTTTTGTCCTATAGTTTATTTTTTATTTTGTCTCCTGATCTTAAAATTTAGTTTGGCTACTATTTTCAAAGGGTTTTATCCCAAACTTTGGCGACTTTATTTTATGAATTGGATTAGGGTTAGGGTTAGGGTCAGGGTTAGGGCCCTAATCCCTTCAGTCACAAATGTGTTTCTATATCCTTGTTAAAGCATGTACATTACTCACAAAAAACGAAATTGTTTTTTGTAACCTTGTCCTTTTTTAATGCTTTTTTTAATGTAAAAAAAACAAAAGCAAAAATCATTTGTATGACCAAATAAGCAAACTTACTACTGCTCACAATGGTAATAAAAATAATTCTGATTCTTAAGTGTTTTAACAGCCGATCGTGGACCTCTTTTTAATCAAGCATTGGACAAGGCTTCAACACACACAGTTCTTTCTTTAGACACAAACGTAAACAAGAAATTGTGAATTAACATAAAATCGACTCTACAATAACATTTATAGCTGTTTTTATTATAAATGATTGAGTACAGCCTTCCCATCATTCTGCAATGACTCACACCTTGTCTCACCCTGTGTCCATGATGCAAAGGTGGACCATCTCTTCAGTGCCACTGTGAATATTTGAGCGCGGGAGGTTGCAGATGCTGATGCCAGCTGAAAACCGGCTTACAGAACCCTGCTCTCTCAGACAGACAGACAGTCAGACAGACAGAGAGAGGTTTTCATGCGCACACAGCACTCTTCACCACACACCTGCACACAAACACACATGTACGCCGCATGCTGACGCTTAAGATGAAGAGGAGAAACGTGAAGAGAGAGTGAGAGAGAGAGGGGGTTGGATCCAGTCAGGAAGATGGGAAAAAAATAAGCAAGCAGCAGAAATAACTATGAAGAAAGCAGATTTATTGCTTGTGAGGTCAATCTACAACTTGCTGAACCGCACTTTTAAACATCCAACGCGTGATACGCAACAGAAAATCATAATGTCAAACAGCCTTAACTAATCTCTTTCCTAGGAATATACAGATTGCTCAATAAGTTCGTCAATAGTCCGTGATGTTTTTTTGCGGCTGGGTCTTGGGGTGTGAGTAAGAAGTCTGCAAATGAAGTGTTGTCAGCGAAATCAGATCAAAGCTAATTGATTTGGAGTGTGGAGGAACCCCTCTGGCCTTCGTCTTGGAGTTATCATATGATGAAAGTAAATACAGAAAAGAAAATCAAAGCTGACGCAGGCTCAGGAGGGGCTGTACTTGTTCTTTAATCTGTGCAGCTTGTGAGTTTTGTGGTGGAAAGGCATGTGGGAGCAGAATGGACGCCATGCTGCTGTCAGTTTGCCTCAAGGCAGCAGTGTTTTCAAAAGTTTTGTTTCACTGAACTTCTTCACACTATTCATTGTATGAGATCAATTGTCAAAATGTCAACTTCTAACCTCGTCTCAAAAATATTAGTCAGGGACTTCACGTCAAATCAAAACGTTGTTGTTTTTCACTCCTGTCTGGGAACTTCCGCATTCAAACTGATTACTAAATCTTTTTGTTGTTGTTACGCTGGACCAAAATTACTACAGCCGTTTTCTTCGAGGACTTTAGAAAGTTCTGGATTCACCAACAACTGAGCAGAAAATCACAGTTTGAACAGTTTGAACACAGGAAATGCAATAATAACAAACACATAGGAGCCATGGGTCTCTAGGGTGTGTGGTGTCTAACGTGAATACATTTCCTTAAATGTCCCATATCCTCACTGTCCTCAGACCCTACTGCATATGCAAGAGACTAAACACAATAAACCCAGTGGGAAAAAAGGGAGAAACTTCGGGATAGCCCACATTGAGAGAAAGATCTGCTGCCAAGAACAGACAGACAATTGATCCAGGGCTTAGGCTGTAGAATGACGACTGAGGCCATTCAGTTTATGAGTGAGGTAGCTCTCAGATTTGTAGGTCTATACTGTAGTTAATAGTTCACAAAAATAACAGTTTCTGGAGAAGCTCTAAGGATTAATCCATAAAGGATGAAAATACCAACAAGCACTGAACAATTGATACACCATCATTTTGGACGTACATTGCAAAACGTTCTGTCACTATTTGGTAGATAAACGTTTGTGAATGTGTGTTTTAAATGCACTTTACATTGTATTAGCTTATAACAAACTTCCATCCTCTGTTTTGCAGGTCACCGCTAAGGGTTTTGCTCCGCTGCTCCAGTTCGCCTACACTGCCAAGCTCGTCTTAAGCAGCGAGAACATCCACGAAGTCATCCTGTGCGCGGACTTCCTCGGCGTTCACAACCTGGAGGACTCCTGCTTCCGCTTCCTCCAGGCCCAGCTGCAGAACGACAGCCAGCACGCACTCAACGGCAAAGCTGACTCCGACGATGACGTGATGGCCGAGGAGTTCAACGATAATCTCCCACTGGAAGACACGACGAGCGATCACAGGCAGCAGACCAATCATGTAGCACCCACTGCGCCACTGCCCAAATACAGCCCCAAATACAGAAAGTACCAGTACCCAATCATTGACAACAAGCACAATGGCGAGAAACATCACGACGACGTTGCTTTGCCGAATCGTACCTCATCTAGCCCCATCAACTCCCACTACCAGGATTCTTTGCAACCACGTCTAACGCCTCCTCGAATCAAGGAAGAACCCTATGCATTTGAGGAAGCAGGAGAAAATAGGAATGGTTACAATCCCGAATTGTGCACAGAAGAGGTTTTGGAGATGGAGTTGGAGGTGGAAGGGGTGCCAGTAGCAGCAGAACACTCGCCGGGGCAAGGCTCACCTTCCTCTTGTCTACGATCCTACCTCCAAAGGGGCGGCCTGGACCTGAGTGCCGTGCCCAGTACAACAATCCAGCAGCTCCTTACCAACAGACTCTCTCTCAACCACTACAGGGATCTTGTCAAGGACAGGGCAAGGGACAAGAACATCGAAAGGTCAAAAGCCTCGTCGTCGAAGCATGAGGGAGAACTGGACAGGCGAAGTAGTGTGATCTTCTCGTCAGCGGCAGGGGAGAGGCACATTGGTCATTCATACAATGAGGACAAGTTTCGGGAAAAGGTTTCAGCACTGATGCAAGTGGAGTCACCTCCAAGCGGGCGCTCATGCCTCACCACAAGTTGCCCCATCAAACCAGCAGCCCACTCGCCTTCGCCATCAGAGCCCCAGACACAAACATCCAGCTCCAGATCCTCTTTCTCCTTCCCAGACGATGGAGGCAGCGGGATTTCACCATCCAGCATGCCCCAGTTCGACTATTCCTCGTCCCCACGCTCAGGGTCCATCTCGGGGCTGTCCCACTGCCTTGCCGGGCTGGTGGAGCAAAGAAACCCTCAGGACTGCTCCAAAATCAAGACTGAACAGGGCTTTGGCACCAGCGGAATGAACTCCAGCGACGAGTCTGGGTCTTTCTCAGAAGGGGACAGCGAGAGTGGTCTCTCCATGAGAGTCTCGGGTCCTGAGGTGAGTTGGATAATTAGCAGGAACATTGTGCATTAATATTCTTGTGGGGCTATCAGTGGTCTGATGTAAGAGCAAGTTTATGCGAGTAATAGTGACCAAGAAAAGTTCTTGGTCTTTGGCTTTCAAACCTCTTTAGAAAATGCTTTTGACCTGGCGGCTTTTACATTTTAAGCTGTTTCTACTGTCAACTTTTTCATAATTGAATTGAATTGAATTTGCAAGCAGATGGCTCTAAAAGTAAAGAAGATAATAAAGCATAACTGTACATATTGAGCACCAAGCACAACAAACACAAGCACCTTAAGCTGTGTTTGATTGCATTCTCCAACAAATATGTATGTGTTGTATGTTTTTTATTTGCAAATTGTTCAGGCCCCTTCTTCAAAACTAAACTTTTTTTCATCTGCATACTATCCCGAACAAAGTAAAAGACCACAGCCAGTCAGCTTACGGCGCAACTCTTCCATCTTCATTTGTTGCCCTTGTGTGGTCATGATTCTTGTTGCCATATCCACAAAAATTAGACATGGAAACATCAAACTTTAATTTTCCCTGACTGGCAGTGGCATGTATCAATTATGTTTATCACGTTGCTTCTGGTTATGATTTACAGCGTTCTATTCTTAGACAGTTTTTCCCCTCGAGAGAAATGACGCACACACTTCCAACACGCGTGGACCTAAAAGAGCTGGTATACGGTTTCCATGGCAATAGCTAAGTACATGCAATATCGGATGTTATGTGAGATGAGGGCTCTCTGCAGGATCCAGCTCGTGTTGCCTCATGCTCCTCTTGTGTTGCTTGTTTGTAGAGGACACTGCATTGACTGAGACCCTAGCCTCTCGAGCCGACTTGACCTTGCCATACGGCCAGTGGGATGTGTCTGCTTGGGTGACATGACTATACTCTAGGTTCAAGATAAGAGATTAGAGTGCTACAGGACTATGTTTTCAAAAAAAACATAGTAAAAGGTTAATACGGCTGTTATGGCATGCATGATTTAAAGCAAAATATGTCAAAGGAAACCCACCATATTCATTATTTGAAATCAAACTTTCAACCCAAGGCACAATTATAAATAAGGTCTATCAGTCTGCAATAACAAGCTTCTCTTACTTTGATTTTGATATATATACAGAAGACCAAAAGTTTAGACACACTTTCTCATTCAATGAGTGTCCTTTCTTTTCATGACTATTAACTGTAGATTCACACCAGGCTGTGTAAGGGCTATTTGACCAATAAGGAGAGTGGTGGGTGCTGGGTGAGATGACCTGGCCTCCACAGTCACCGGACCTGAACCCAATCCAAATGGTTTTGGGGTGAGCTGGACCACAGAGTGAAGGCGAAAGGGCCAACAAGTGCTAAGCATCTCTGGGAACTCCTTCAAGACTGTTGGACGACCATTTCAGGTCACAACCTCCTGAAGGTCATACCAAGAGAATACCAAGAGTGTGCGAAGCAGTTATCAGAGCAAAACGTGCTACTTTGAAGAACCGAGAATATAAGACATATTTTCAGTTGTTTCAGACTTATTTTTTTAGTACGTACATAATTCCACATGAGTTAATTCATAGTTTTGATGCCTTCACTGTGAATCTACAATTTTCATAATCATGAAAATATAAAACTCTTTGCATGAGAAGGTGTGTCCAAACTTTTGGTCTGTACTATATATATATATAAAGATTAAGAAAGAAGACCTTGGTATTACAGTAAGGTCTATAAAACCGGGTACTCATGCACTGTCTATGTTGGCGAGGGGAAATACTCAAGGCTCAAAAGGTTGGGGACCACTGATATAAGTAACACGTTACAGATAGTAGTGATGTTGTGTTGCAAACTGTAATAGTAGTGGTTTGTATTGATTGATTGATTTATGTACTTTCTAAAAACAAATTCCCAACAGTTGGTCCATAATACTGTAGTGTGGTATGAGTGATGAATATTGAGATTAAGAGATCCTTTTTTCATCGGAAATTTCAGTGTTGTATCACCGGTTACAGGACAGTAGGAATGAGGAGCACACACCAAAAGATAAGGGGACAATAACTCTATACCAAATAAAATACAATCTCTAACTTTAGCATAATAAAGAAGCAAGTATAAAGATAAGATAGGATCCACTTTCTTGATCTCACAATGAAGAAATTTACTAGTCACATTTGGCAAAAATATGATCACTCTGCAAAAGACAGGAAATGTGCAAACAGGAAATGTGCAACTTGTCAAAAAGTGAAAAGATAGTCTCTTTTGTGCAAGATTTGTTGTGTACAATTCAAGTGACTACAGCAGTGCGAGTCCCTAACTTTAGCATAATAAAGAAGCAAGAGTGAAATGAAGCATTTTCTATCGCATGAAATATAGAGTTGTATGTTTACATTTGTAAATTACAGTGGGCTATATCACACTTCTGACATTATTGAAGAGGATGAGTGTAAAAAATCGTAAATACTGATTTTACCAAAGTGCTCCACACATACTCAGCTGCTCCACAGAAATAGACTAAGAGAAATTACTCTAATGTGAATCCATTGTGCGCTAATGAACAGGTTCTTGGCCATAAATTTCACGAGCAACAATTTCCAAACCTGTTGAAAGCTTAGTTTAATCACAAATAATATATTCAGTAGTACCGGGAAATTACACCAGGCTCCTTTCGACTCTTTGTCTTCTGGATTGTAAATTTAGCTGAAACACTTTCCTCTACCCCACATACTGCTCCTGTGTGTCCCACTTCTGCGCCCTGACCCACTTGTCTCACCCACGGAGCGGACACTCTCTCACACCCTTGGGTGCCCTATAGGCAGGTGGAAGGTGTCCTGTCCATGTTTGCTCCACCATCTGCTGCGCCCAACCTCCAAAACTGGCCTCTTCCAACTAGGCCAGTCCCAGCAGCAGACCCTCACTGCTCATTCGGCCACTTCTACACTTGGTAAACACTTCACTGTTTGACTAAGCCCATATCCTTCAAAATGACGTGCACGTTTCCTGAAGAGGAAGCCAAACTTACTGTATGCAGCTGGAGAACAATATCTAGACTTCAACAATAACGCTACATGCATATTTGATTTTATCTATTTTTGTATCTAGATTCCAAAGAATCGTTTCGGAGGACTTTACAAAGTTGTAGATTTGCCAAATCAGAGAATCAAACGGGCACATAGCAGCCATTGGTCATAAGGCCGGGATGAACAATGTCCCTAAATGGCTATTGTGCTATTTTGATTAAATTCTTGCTAAGTCTGAGCCATAAAACATTGAAAATTGTATAATTGTGAAGTGGATTCAAGTTGAGGTATCTTTATTTCGGGAGGATCTCACACGTTCATAAGTTCCGCGTTGCCCCTGCATATTTGGAATATACATCCATAATATACACCCTATTCTGCGCAAATTTCATAAATGAGGACCAATATCACTAGAAAACATACAATAGTCTGCATACTTGTAAGAAAGAGCGAAAGTGAGAAAGAGAGAAAGTTGATTTGTTGAGTCTGTTAGAATTTCTGTTTGAAAAAAGCTGATCTAAAGATGTGACAGAGACCAGAAAACACTTGCTTATGGAAACTAGTGAGAGATCCAGGAACTAGTAAGATGGATTCCTAAGTATTGTTTGATAGTTAGGTGCCACAGCTTGAGGTCCATAAAACATCAGCTAGCTCTTTGGCTGTAAAATGCAATCAGAGGCTGAAGACAAATTACAAACGCCCTGACGTATTTGACTCCTGAGCCTTTAAGTTTGACACTGGTGACTTATTTTGATGTAGATGATGGGAATGACCCTTCTGAATCTCGCTTAGGGCTTCCTGGGGCTCCACCAAGTCCACACCACACACCTCTTATCTCCCCCTTTTAGATCCACCATCGAATTGAAACAAGTTTGATTTTATTCTGAGGCTTTTACCACTCCGTCCTTAACCACGGCCGACAACAAGTGAAGGAATGAGGTCCGTTAGAGTTAAAATTGGAAGCGGCATTGTGGCCATTGTTGGGTGGATTTATTACCAAGCGAGGCTCACTTTGTCATTTCAACCTTATTATGTGACGCTCGGAGTCACGCGGCTATATATAGACGTCTGCAGTGTAAAGGACAGGCACACACACACTATCACACACACTCATTCACACACGCTGCTCCCTTTTCTCCTACTGTCAGAGGAGTGAATGATGTCATCGTTACAAGCTGGCAACGCCGAGCCCTGAGAAGACAACACCAGAGATACACTGTGGCTGCACCATTGAGAATGCTTCAGTGATTTAATAATGAAGCTATGCCCACTATATTGTGGGCATGCAGTTTATACTATGGTTTTTACAGGCAGGAGATGGGGGGGATACGAGGCATTGGAATGAACCTGTAAAGTGATGGAAATTACATGTGGTTTGTTTTTTCACACAAACACAAATATTTTCAATTCCACCTGCTGAAAATTTAGATGGGAGAAGGAAATGCTTGTTTAGCCCTGCTTGGCACACTGCACTCCTTGAATGGAAAGCCGAATTGTCACAACCTTTGAACAAAAAAAATGAATACTATCTCCAATCGAAAAACAAATACATATGAAATTAATGACAATCAAATCCACCCATATCTATATTTATAACTATGTATTTTGGTTGTAATGTAATGATGTACACATAGATTCTATATCGTCTATGTATGTAAGTGATGTCTCTTCAGGTCATAAAAGTCCCATATAAACCTGGAGGATAAAATATAGAATACTTCTCACAATAAGGTTGGGTGACGGGATATATACACTGGCAATAGTGCTAGTCCTATACACTTACTAATGAAACCATATAAGATATTTGCCTTAAACATGTTCAATTCTCTTGTATGAATATGTTAGTATTGTACCGACATAGTTCTTTCTCATTTGATTTTAAGGATGAGACTGTGTCCGCTGTATATTTGTGCACAGTGAGGTGTTGGTGCTGTCAGTGAGCTGTTAAATGTCCAGTGTGAGCAGCTCCATCGGAAACAAAGAGATCATGTGTTTGTCTCTGGCATAAAAAACCCTGTGTGCCATTTATTGGATAATACTGACATCTAGTGGCCACAGCTCCACACTGCTCGAGTAGGAAGTCATAAACTAGGAATTGCTTTGGCTCATGGTGTAAATGAGTTCTAAATGTAAACATATAAGGCATGCATAGAAAAAAAATCTTCATAAAATGTACTGCTCTATTACTACTATTACTATCTACTTTATTATTATGAATATATTATCTATTATTACATGTTTGTTAATGGAACGGCTAATTCAAATAAAACAAATAAAAAATGTATAAACATTGTATTGATAAAATGAATACACAAAACAACAAAACATAGAAAGAGACAGTGGTCTTCTTAATTTTGCCCTAATACTGGAATTTCAAACATTTTGAAATTCCATGTCCTAGTGCTGGTCATTAAGTGACTTATTAAGTGACTTATTGCACAATAATGATTATATCGCAGCCACTTGAAAGCAGCCTTAGTAGGCCTTAGAAAGCCAAAAGCCTTATCAGGTGGCTGTGGAGTCTTCTCCCTGTAACGGCCATTGTCCTTCACATGTGTCCAGGTGAAGCTGCCCTTCCCCGTGGACCAGATCACAAACCTCCCGCGGAATGACTTTCAGATTCTGATCAAGATGCACAAACTGACCTCAGAGCAGCTGGAGTTCATCCACGACATCCGGCGCAGGAGCAAGAACCGGATCGCGGCCCAGCGCTGCCGCAAGAGGAAGCTCGACTGTATTCAGAACCTGGAGTGTGAAATACGCAAACTGGTACGTCCCAAACCACATCTCAACTCAATAAAATTTTTAAATCCATACAACTGGTTCATATCTGTCACAAAGCCTTTGGCACATCAGAAACACAACCCTAGAAGACATTTTTTATCGTAATACAAATATAATACAATACATAGATATTTCATGGTTCTTTAGTACAGTATGACACTTTCTGAAGATAAAAAGAAATCACAACATTTTAAAAGAAAAAAACTGTTCTTTCTTTGAAGTAGAAATGGAGTGAATGAAAGACATTTGAGCATCTTTGAGTGTCCAAAAAAAGCGCTATATAAAACCAACGCATATTTGCTTTGCCCTAAGTTTCACAGACACTAAAGATTAAAGATTAATTTATACAAAATGATACTATGATTGCGCTTGCACTTCCTTGGCCTGACTCGTGTCTCTGGCCATGGCGTCATCTGGATACAACTCTGTGTTTAATATTATACTGTAGAGCATTGCAAACAAAGCAACATCCCTGCAGACAAGCAACAGGTTGACTTAGAAGCAATGCTCCAGAAGCTAAAAGAAGCTACATCCACATTAGATACAGCTCTGGTTCAGTCTCTATAAAACAAGCTGACACAGTTTTCTCTCATTTTCAGGGTCATGTGTCATAACTAGACACCACTAGAGAACAAAGTTATGTTTAGTGAAAGTGCAATAGAGATGAACATGTTGTGTCAGTGTTTCTTAAACTGTGGCACACACACTAATAATAATAATAATTAATTAAAACAATGAATTTGCAGACCATACACCCCACTAACATTTACATAATCCCTTAAAGCTGGGATACCTAACATTTTTTTTGTCATAGATTATACATGTAGTTTACCTCAGAGAATTCAAAGAGTATAATATTATTAACAAATGATAAAACATGTAAGAGCCCTTTGAGTCACTTGATGCTTTGGGCTGAGAGCTGATTGGCTGAGTGAGACTTGTGTGTGACATATGTGTGTACGCATATGTGCATGAATGACAGTGGTTTGACTTTTGAGCAATATTCTAATTCTTCCTTGTGTCACCTGTATATCATTTAATCGACAGAAACAGAAGCAAAAATGTATTATTATTGTATCAAAATGTCAGCTTTATGTCATCACTCCACCTTATTTCTACACTCGTAAGCTTTCAGGCATTAGAATGTGAACTCTATTTGATTATTACATGTTATTGTCTTAGAACCGCCTGCTTCTTCCCTCCGGCGGGTATAAGACTTATAGCTCCTTAGTTTCTTAATCATGCTTTTAAGAGTTTTATATGTGCCTCACTGTGTCTTGTCTCGCTATGTTTATTCTTTTTGTCTGTGTGTGTGTGCTTTGTGGTGTCGGTGTCCCCGGTGTCTCCTGTTTGTATTCCAATGTAGTTTTTTTCAGCAAATGGCAATACATTGATTCTGATTCTAATTTTGATTCTAAAAATCTGAAAAAGTTTGACCAGTCGGAAAACCCATACAGAAGAGCCACACTGTTTAGAGAATGAGGAAATAGTTACATGGATTTGACTTGTTACTTTTGATTTGTAAATCCACTTTAAAACACTTTATAACGGCATAACATGTAATTCTCTCGCTGTTTGCAGGTGTGTGAGAAGGACAAGCTGCTGAGCGAGCGAAACCAGCTGAAGGTCTGCATGTCGGAGCTGTGGCAGAACCTCTCCTTCCTCTCGCAGCAGGTGTGTCGGGACGTCCAGCCGGCCCCTGTGTCTGCCAGCATCGACCTCACCTCCACCCCGCCCTCGCCATCCTCCTCCTCCCCGCTACGGCCTGGCACCCCTCACCGAGAAGGGGTGGAGGTGTCCCAGGACTGCCCCCTGGTTCTGGGCTCCACTGAGGAAGTATGTAGCCCCACCGTCACCGTGGATTTCTGCCAAGAGATGACTGAGAAATGCACAACGGAGGAGCAGCAGCAGCAGAGACATGGGTGCACCTAAACGCCGGGGGGGTGGGAGGGGGGTTTCCGTTCTCCCTTGATATCTGATGTATTTTGTCTTTTTGTAACGTTGTCTCAGCAATACTGTTGAACAGGTATTTTTGCATCGCGATCTAACAAATGCACTGGCAGCTTCTCTCTTTCTCTGTCCAACTCCTCTTCCTGTCAGCGTCCCTCCCAGTGCATCATGGGAGGTTAAACTCAGGAAATGCTCCGAATGTTCAGTAATTTCTCATGTACATGCTTTTTGCTTCACTGTCCAGTTCTGACTTGAATATCACAGTTATGTAGTGAGACGAAGTGTGATGAGCCTTTGTATCATGCTGATATGAAACTAGACTCTTTTAGGACTGAATTTCACTGCAAACATTTTACTTTATTGAAACATATGTATAAGCTTGTTGTTTTGCAGGATATTTACTGTCATGTATTCCAGCTTAGTTTTGTCTGCAAAGTCAGACTTTCAGACATAATACGCTCTCACCAACCAACAGAAAGGGGCATTATAATGTTGAAGAGAGACAAAAACTCTTGAATTACAAGTACTTACTGACTTTTTGTGCAATTTTCTATATGCAAACCCTGTTAGTAGTAATCCAGCTCAGTCAGTGGCTCTGTGGTGTTTGAGTGGCACAGGGCAGTGAAGTGAAACCATACCAAAGGTGTGTATTTGTAAACTGCTACATTTGGTCAAATGTCTCATTATGCAAAGCTTGTTTTGTCAAATGTTCACATTTCTATTTTCTCGTAGACAAAGGATATAACGTTTTTTCTGCCTTTTTCAAATCTGTGCAAAGAGACAGAGTCCCATAAGACTGAAGCACCGCTCAGCGCCTCCGAGAGGCGCTCTAAAGCATCGAATGATGACACTGGCACTTATAGACCCAGAGAATCACTCCAATGTGCAGGCTCAAAGGTCATGCTGGTGTTTTCTGTTTCGTTTTCTGAAGCAATGCGACATGTAGATATTTATGATATACATCAAATGAACTGTTTTGTTGTTATTGTGAAATAGCAAGTACAATCATTTCTAAAATTGTAATAAACCAGGCTAACATAGGTCTCCAAAGGTAAATGTTGTAGTTTTAAACTTGAAATGTGAAATGAGATGAAAGCCAAACAAAAACACCAGTATGCTCCTTTAGACACTACCTTAAATAAAATGCTTATTTATTGTGCTATATGTAATATGAATAGTGTTGTACTTATGTATGCAATGTCATTTTACTGTACACAACACTAAATACCTTGAGGTCCAACGTGTGAGTGTAAAACACATCTGTTTTCAACAATTGGCACAAAATGTGTGAAAAATGTGTAAAGTAAGTAATCTGTTCTTGCTAATGTGTACACCTAATAGAGTATGCTATGAAGTTCCATGCTCCAAACATAACACGATGGCACATTATTGATTTAGAGAGATGCCAAATTCATCTGCTGTACAAAAGTCAATGAGGAAGCACGTGGCAGCATGAGTGCAGCTCTGCACACGGCTCTCACAACAGCATTTGAATAATGGCCTGTTGACAGTATTAGGGCAAATTCACTTTTTCTTTACCAACAATCTATCCAGAGCTACAGACCTAATGTGTTGGTGTTCAACATTAAAACAAAAGTTACAATCAAAAATGTTTATGTAAAAAGTGAATCGACCCCATAAGCCAAGCTAGACTCTTATTCGAATGTATGTCTTAAGGATATTTTGAATGGTTATATCTCCGTAATGTGAACTTATTGCTAACTTATTTATTTGGTTGTATGTGGAAAGGGGAAGGGGGTGGGCTGTAGAGGAAAATGCATAGATGTACATTGTAGGTTGGTATCAGACTGATAGGACTGAATTTTGGTAATAGATGTAATTTTGACTGTTTATAATTTGTCTTTATTTACATGTCACTTAAGTTGTTCTCTTTTGACTCAAAGGGTGTATGTTTACAATTTTGTGCATTTCTTGTTGTTATTATAATTTGTTTTTGTAAAAATCCTTGTAAAAGTCCTGGCAAATTAGGTTGTAGAAAAAAAATCTGCTAAATTATTTTTTAGTGTAAATTAAAAATGTTGACTTTTTGATCATCTGACAAGTGCAGCTACAAAGTTGTTGCCTTAGAGGTTACCGAGGCCAAACTATATTCAGTAAGGGAACAAGGAAGTATCCAGCAAAACTGTCTCATTACAGAAAACGTGGCCCCCCAAAAGAGACAACAGCAAGAGACATGTCGTTTACAGAACCAAATCTTTGGACCAACTGCATTGTTTTTCTACTTTTTATCTCTGGAGGGACATTTTTTTCTTCGCAATTATTCATATCAAAGCTGGAGTACCGAAATTTACTGAGTTTCATGAATACATTTTGTGCGTCCAAACAGAAAAAGCATTTTTTAAGTAACATTTTCTGAACCCCTTTGGAACAAAACATGCCGTCTTCATTTCGTTTGGAAATATTTTATCTTTTTACAAACCCAGGCCTGATTGGCTGAGTGAGGGTGGTCCTCTCATTTTCACTTTTCTGCCTGAAAAATCTGATCTAAAGATATAACAAGAGGCCAAAAATACATGCACTTATAATTAGTGATAGAATATTGAAAGCTATTGTAACTAGTAAGGGGTAGGGTTTATACACATACTATACTTTACATAATGTGTGTATTTTTCATGATTTTTAAGTTAGGTACTCCAGCTTTAACAACAAAATGGCACAATGTTGTTGCGGAACACCTTTTGAACAGGATATCGTAGTTATTTGGTTTTGATAGCATTTTTTTCTCTCATTATTGGCGAGATAGAGATGAATATCATTTACACTCAGGCCAGAACATATTAATGATTGTTTTTTTAATTTTGTTTTTAATGAAAGACTTTTTGGATCCCATGCCTTTGACACACCATAGGAAGTACCTTAATAGTTCACGTTTACAGTGGGGAGCAGTTGGGGGGCCACTTCCAGATATTCTGCCACAGATTGTGATTTCAGGGTTCGTTTAAAAACTTGGTTGAACAGACTTTTCTCAAACACTTATCTACCTGGATTCAGCATACCTCTTTGTATGAATAGACATGTATCATAGACATGTAGAAACTTTACGTGGAATCATTTCTAACTTTTTACACTGGTATCATTGTATTTGTAGACTTCTGGTGAGCCATTTTTTATGTGTACTTTACTTTGGGTACCTGAGACATGACTGTTAATATCGGCATTTTTATTTTATTTTTTATCTTCAACTGTTTTGACAAACATGTTTTTTTATTTGGATATTTGTAAATATATTGTGCGAGTCATGTTTTCTTTATTTGATATGAAAATGTTTTAAATAAAAATAATTCGCATTTTGTCAGGGTAAAGACCTGTTGAAAATAAAACAAAGCATGGGAACTAACAATGCCTGTCTGTGTGTGTTATAAACATTCAAATTAAGGTTTTGTTAAGAAGTATTTAATCCAGATATAATAAAAATGGTCATATACTGGCCAGATAAAGGGCAAAATACAAGCTCCAACACCAGATACATAAAAAAGTAGGTAATGTTTTTGAAGTCGATGTATTCCCCTGAGGAGACTGCACGCTTCTGAAATCGCTGTGTTGGCACAAACCAATAAAAAGTGTCCACAGATCTGTAATATCCTCTTTGAAAAAACACAAAACGTAAGGTGCTTCAAATCCGAATGTTTTACTCCTCACTTCTTCATTATAGAAGAAATGTCCAGGAACATGCTCTGAGAACAAATGAAAGAACAAAACAACAGTTACAGGGAGAAACTCCAATGGTAAACTTCAACCATAACAGTATTGATCCATGAATAGTGACGGATGGTGCCTTACATTTGAAACATCAACAACAATAGGAACATGAAACTTCTATTCACTGTTGAAATATCTCTCACACACATCATTGGCCTTACATCAGGACCCTGCTTAAAGATGATAGACAAAAGGATTAGGACTCACCATAGACATCCTGCGGCCCCCGCCGGGGGGCATCATGGGCATGTCTCCCTGCAGAGAGCCCAGCTCGTCAGACTCCTCAGAGGAGTGCATGGAGGGGCTGCTGGAGCCGCTCATAGAGGACATGCTCTCAGATGGGGGTCGCATCATGAAGCTGGTCTTACGGGGGTTTGCCATCAGCAGCTGGCTGCCCATGGAGGTCCTCCTCTCGTGGCCCTCCACTCTGACCACACTGGGTCTTGAGGCGGACAGGAGTGCTGACAGGTGGCTGGACTGGGGCCTGTCGTCTTCATGCTCGTTGGTTTCCTCTGTGTGGCTGCCCCCCATGGTGGACTCCACAGAGGCCCACTCCTGGTGCTGCTCCACAATGCTGGTGTGAATGTCCTGACTCTGGTGAGTGTGAGGCTGGACCAGGCAGTTCAGGCTGGACCTGGGGACCATTCGTGGCTGCTGGCAGATATAATTAGCCTGACCATGTCCCAGATAGGCTATGCTGTGGTGTCTTGGGATGTCTTTGAGCCCTGGGGTGTAATGAGGAGGCTTGTTGTCAGTCTCAGGTACGACTTTAAAGGTCTGAGTCAAAGGCCCATTGTGAGGGGGTACATTGCTCATCACACAGAGATGCGGCAGTGAGGATTTTCTCTTGTACCTATAAATAAAACTGTCCTCCTCTGAGAACCTGTCTCCACTCAGGATCCTCTTGATCTTCCTGATGCCTAAGTGGGATATTTCTAAAATGTTCAGGAAAAGGGACACACCTGCGATTACAATCATGAAGACCATGAAGATGGTCTTCTCCGTGGGCCTGGAGATGTAGCAGTCCACACTGTTGGGACAGGGCAGGCGCTCACATTTGTACAGAGGGTCCAGGTGGACCCCGTACATGATGCACTGTCCCAGGATGAAGCAGACCTCCAGCACAGAGCGTGTCAGGATATGGATCACATATGTCCTCAGCAGGGAGCCTCTAAGAGGGGCTTTCTTCACCCTCTTTTGTTCCTCCAGTCTCTTCAGCTCTCTCTCTAAGCGCTTCTGCTCCTCCAGCAGCTCTGCTTCGTCCATCTCTTCCTTCAGCTGGAAGCGTTTGCGATGGCGCTCCTTCTCCAGGGCACGGATACAGTACAGGGCATGTCCCATGTAGACCAGGGAGGGTGCAGACACAAAGATGACCTGCAGCACCCAGAAGCGGATGAGGGAGATGGGAAAGGCGCGGTCGTAACACACAGCTTTACAGCCGGGCTGGTCCGTGTTACACACAAACTCTATCTGTTCATCGTCCCACACGTCCTCAGCTGCTGCGCCCAGAATTAACATGCGGAAGATGAACAAGATGGTGAGCCAGATTTTCCCAACGATGGTGGAGTGAATATGGACCTCTTCTAGGATGCTGCCCAGCAGGTTCCAGTCGCCCATGGTCAGAGCAGGGCTCAGTGCCACATGTCCTCAAACTGTGAAAGAGCATATGAATATAAAATTACACTCTCAAGTTCAATATAAAGTTCATAGAATAAACCCTAACGTCTTGGTTCGGAGAGTATTTGCTATCTGCTTGCTCTATGCTTTGACAAAAGTTTGAGAATCACTATTGACAACTCTAACCATGTCCAAATAATTATTATTTGCATAACCATCATTGAACTTATTGATACTTCTATAGTTTCATTTGCTCAAACCTGTACGGTGGCAACTGGGCCTTCATTAAAATATGAACTGTCTGGCACTATAGGTCAAGGGTAAACCCATTAGGTTTTGGCTGAGGTCCATGGCAACAGCCATTTTCTAATATTAGGTCAAACATAGGGCATTGGATTTTTGTTTTAGCTTTGCCACTTTGGGGCTGGAATAGATTGAGGGTTCTGCAAGTACTACAACAACAGCTGCAAAATACTATAGGCTCTCTGCCATCGCGTGACTGAACATGTTCAATCTATATCTCACCAATAAATAAATGTATTTACTGTATATATACAGTATAAATGGAATGAAACTTGAAACACAATTTCTAATCTATATAAAACTTAAATAAAAAAAATTACATCCATGTAGAACGAAATAAATACAATTATAGCAAACATAGTGATGCAGACCAAGGGTCCGGCTCTGGTAAAAGTTGTTGTAGTAGCTGAATACATTCTTTTATGGATCACAATATCTCATAACTCTTTCAACAAAAAACTTTCAACCAAATAACTGACTTACATTTTAGTGCATTTGGGTCCCACTTTGTAGCTGGATGGCGTTCACATGTTGTAGAAGGTCTGTTCTCCGTGTGCCTGCGTGTTTAGCCCATGGAGAAGTGCTTTTGTCCCGTTCCCAGACTCCGGTCCACATCATTCCGCACGGGCTTGTCTCTGGGCACTGTGTTTCTGCTGCAGCCTGCCCGTGTGCTGGACTGTGGTCCGTGTTACATGCTGGGTTCACAGGATGTGATCATTGATCACCTCTCGACGGGACAATACCCTCCCCTTCGCCCCTATCCTTTGCCAGCAGTGCCCAGTCCACAGAGCCATCAATACACCCCCTCCCCCGTCAGTGAGGGGTGATATTTGTTTGGGGTGAGGCTCTCAAATGAGGCCCGCCCTTAATTTAGTTTGTGGTGGAAATCCTAGTTGGATTTAATAGAACAGGGCAGCCTTTAATGTGGCAGTGCACTCATGAAGGTTAAGCATGTCACTGTACATTACACTTCACACATGAGCGAGCAGAGCAGACAGGACATGGACACTATGTGCCATAGGACAAAAACTGATTCAACTCAATCCCATGCCAAGGGCTCTATAGGAACCGAATGCATCAGAAGCAGGTCTTGCGCTGGGGAATGAAAGCCATGTCCTCTGTATGTAATCAATGTTATTATTAATAATACATGCATTATATGAGTCCATACTGTAGTTCCTAGAGACATTATTCTCATAGCTTTATCTTAACTTGAATGTGTCAGGACCAACGCATACTGCTTTTGTCATTACCTCATTAGTCTCCCTGTGCTGAGGACACATTCTCTAACTTATTGTAGAGAGAGTTTGATGATGAGGAGAAGCTTGAAAATCAATGTATACAATAACATTCAGTTGTGTCTGCTGTTATCAATAAGTCATGTCTTCTTCTGTATAATTCCTGCTCTTGTCTGGTTTTGAGAACCATTTACAACATTTAATTTTGTTAAAACAAAATTCAAGTTCACTCCAGGTATTTCCATAATGTGGTCTGCTAACCTCTACTGTAAATCATCATAAATGCAGGTAATTGATGTGGTTCAGGGATCGATCCTTTGTCCCATGTACAAAAGGATCAGGCTGTGAGTACGGCCGACACAGTCCCTCGGCCTCAGCAGCTATAGTGAGTGCATATTATGACTGGTGCAGAGCGCTGCGCTGGCTGCATAAAATGACCAGCTAAGCCTGCAGGGTGTTTAATTAGGTTTCCATCGCGCTCTGACAGAGTCAATGGACATTGATTTGATTTTCCCTTCAGAAGCTGCTGTTATGGTTGTTAAGGCCGAATGCCAGATGTCACACCAGGATCATTGGGTTACACAACCATTGGCTGCTACATTAGGAGCTCCACTGTGATGGAGCTGTGGCAGAGGGCGGTTGTTTACTGTTTGTTGCCATTTGACATCATCCCACACATAGGTATATCGTTGGAAGTATCTCTAAAACTTCTAGCGCAGCCGTCAGAATCCCCCAAACTATACAGTAGGTGAAATTACCTCATCTCAGCAGTAATAGCATTTTCAAAACATGATAAACTCACTGTCCTCTTTTTTATTCCGTCCATTAGTGTTATTTGTAGTCTCTCCCAAAGCTGTTTGTAGAACTTAAGTTGAGAAGGTTTGTCATGTCTTTTCAAGCTCTTTACTGAGCAGCATCGCACTGATGTCCATCACATTATGCTACAGTAGTATATAATTAGAATAAAACCCCTGATGAACGAATTAGACACAACACACTTATCTCTCTAACACATCATCTAAATTTTCAGTTTTGAAGTGAAGGGCTGTGGTTGTGTTCTGTACTCTGTGAGCTGTCATTGGTCCTGAGGCTCTGAAGCTCCGCCTCCAGAGTGCTAATGCGCTGCAGTAGTTCCTGTTTGTCCTTCTGTGCCTGGACCTCCGTCTGCCTCTCCACCTCCAGGATCTTCCTCTCACACCACAGCTCCAGCTGAGAGGACACAGTCTCCAAGAAGCGCTGGCTCACCTGACAACAACACCTTTCATCAGATACCATTATGAACACACATATACAGAGGAACACTTGGGAAACACTATGATAAAGATGGCTTATTCAAGAACCATTTAGCTGAAACCCTATAAAGACAATCTTTGACACTATATTAGACATGGTATATTCTTTTCCAAGAGAGGAACATATAGGGACATTTATGGACATAAACATCTTCTAAATCATAGACTATTTGAGACCCATTTTCTCTAATCTAAATGTTTTCCTATTTATACATTTCTTTTAAAATGATTATTATTATCATTATTTAATATATAATGTATATATAATAATGTATATATATAATGTAATATATAAGTAAATATTGAAATTAAAGTAGTACAAAGTTGTTAGATGTTTACATAGTTTTTTACATTTATCATTCCATAAATGTAAAAGAGACCAGCTTTGGTCCTTTGTGGTTACTATGGAAACTACCTCAAACCAGGAAGTAAAATGAACAACTATATAATACTTTATAAACCATGCAAAATGTTGTGTCAAGCATATTATCTAGTGTAGAATGACTATCTGTAATAATCAAGGTTGGATGTTAGAACTCTGTTGGAATTGGTTTTAAAATTCCTCCACTCACCTCGGCCGCATGCAGCTGTGCCCGCTCCATCATCAAGGTGTTCTCAGTGGGGGGGCGGTCCTTGTAGACCTCGATGGTCCTGTCCTGGTTGTGTCCCATCTTCACCATCTCATGCACGTGGCCCTTTGGCGACACCCATCTGGGGGGGCAGTCACTGGACTTGCTGCTGTTGCCAAAGCCCTCCCCCCTCACGGCCACCACAGCCGAGCAGTCACTGTCCTGCTCTTCCACACGCTGCATGGACGGCCGTTTAGAGGCGGAGGCAGCGGGAGTGGTGTTCTCGTAGTCATCTGAAAGTTGGAAATTAAGGAGATTAAGAAAGGAAATAAAGTTAATTAAAGCTGGGGTACGTACCTTTCAAGCCACAACCCGAGGAACTAAATAATGAAATCTTGTTCCTAGCTCTCAAAAAAGTTTAGTTCTATCACTATTTTTCAACTCTGACACGTCTTTAGAGCAGCTTTTTCAGACATAAAAGTGAAAATATAGAGGACCACCCTCAACACGGCTCTCAACTCATTGAGTCGAATACATTTTTAAGTGTGGCAAAGACAAAATGTTAAATGTAAAAAAAAAGCAGCAGATTTGTTCACAATGTTTTGTTCTCAAGACTCTTTCTGTTGAGGCAAATGACATGTATTATTTAATAAATAGTTATATCCAAGTTAAATCTTAGCATTTTATTCAAGATGAAAATGTGCCAAAATCCTCACTGTTTGTTGAACTTCTGCATTGTAATACTTTTGACAACTCGCTAATTATATTTACGTTGTTACAAAACTTGATACTCATTTGAGCAAGTATCGATAGTAAGTCCTGAACAGTTAAAGGAAGATGAATGATAATATTCAATCAAATCATTAATTTGGCTGTGAAATCTTTATATATATTTTTTATTTAATCTTTAATTCAGACACACAAAGGGTCCATATAAAACAAAAATAGTATAGTATATATAATAGTATAGTACACATAGTGGCCAGCGAACCACAAAGGCTGCAATTAATTCCCAAAATATTTCACAGTAAAACGTGATTCTGATAAAAACAGATCACTCTGCCGTCTTGAAAGGCAGAGTCTTTCTGGTTTATTAATATTATTCTTTATCTTTCATCTCTCATGAGTTTTTTCTGCTTGTTCTTCCACTGCTCCAGTTTAAAATGGGCAAATTGGGCACAAAAGATGTAAGTATAAAATATTTCAAATCGTGTGCATCACAAAATGTGCAATTAGATTTTCAGCCAAATTCGTTTTGACCCAATCATCACTGTTATAAATGGATTAAAATCTGGTAACAAGTATATTCACATCACATAAATCCTGTTACTGAACAAAAAAACAGTATAAAGTGCGAGCCACAATTTAATTTTAATTTTGTTTTAAATCTTTTTAACACGCACATGTTTTGATTTATGCTCTTTACTTTTAAAATCGTAAATTACAGTAAGTACATCAGAAAAAAAATCAGCTGTACATATATACAACATGAATCTATGTTTTTTATGAGTAAAATGGTTCTATAGACTGTTGGTTGTACCCAGCACTAGCAATATACTGTACAGGTATCCTCTTTTTTTTATCTTTTATATCTGGACATACCTGGTGATCTGTCCACTTTCATCTCAAAGTATTTCCTGCTCGTCTCCTGCTCAGATCCCAGGCTCCAGGACGACCAGGAGGGGGCAATATTGACGTACGTGGCCAGAGATGAGCTGCTGTCGCTGGAGAGGACAGAGAGGAGGGGGAGGCTCTCCAGGTCAGACTCCCCACAGGACTGTCCCGCTGAGGGGGAGTGCACCAGTCTGGAGTAAGGGGCGCCTCTTGGTGTCGCTGGGACGTCCCGGGGCTTGAGCTCGGACACACACCACTTTTTCAGCTCACTCCGCACTGCTGCCTGTTCAAAGAGGCGTGAACATAATTATCATAAAAAGATGGAGGCTACAGGATGGAAGCCCCCTCACTCGTCTCGTTGGGGAGAATTGTTGGTTCACACATCTCTGGTTATTCAATTCAATTCAATGTATTCTTGTATAGTCCTAAATCAGAACAGTAGTTATCTCAGAGGAGTTGAATTTGCCAACACAGATCAGAGAATCAAACTGTTCAAACACAAGAAATGCAATGACAAAAAATTAAATAGAGTTATTGGTCCATAAGGGGCAGACGGCCAATGTCCATAAATGTTGATAAATGTCCATAAATGTTGATAAATGTCCATAAATGTCCATAAATGTTGATAAATGTCCATAAATGTTGCCCACATCTCCATCAACATGACTTGCGGACCGACACAATTGACAATATCAAGTCTTGTGTTGGGATTTTTATTTATTTGTTGGGATTTTTTTGAATTTGTTTACTTTTCTGTCCAGAAGTTTGTATATATGTAAAAAGCTTTAAAAGAAAGGAAAACAATACAAATTCTATAATTGCAAGAAAATCCATTGTACAACACCACAAAAATAAAATAATATATCACAACAGTAGTTATCTTGAAGGACATCAGGTGAGAATTTTCGGAAACTAAATTAAAGCGTGTCTTGCATAACACCAGAATGATGGACAATTAGGAGGACCAAAAGTTTAGATGATCACCACGGAAGAAGAAAATCCGCCCATATGCCTTTAACAAAACCGTTGAATTTGCCAACACAGATCAGAGAATCAAACAGTTCAAACACAAGAAATACAATGATAAAAAAACACATGGTTTTGGTCCATTAGGGGCAGACGACCAATGTCCATAAATGTTGATAAATGTTGAGTGTCTTGGATCATCACCACCATCATACCAGTGCATTGTTCATGTTCAATTATTATTATTTATTTTTTTCCAGAGCTTGTGTATGTAAATAGTATACACCCTGTAGTAAAAGCTATATGTGTGATACCTCTGTCACGCGGGCCTCCTCCCGTCCTTGTGCCGCCTGCTGTTCCATCCTGTACATCAGATGACGTCTTTCAGCTGCTGCTCTGGCCTGGTTTATCATATCCACCACTTTTATCTGTTTCAAATAAACCACAATAGTATACGTTGGTTTTGATGTATACTCGGGGAGAACATGTTGAAACAAAGATGATATGAAATGTATAGCCATATGTCTGTTTAATGTTCCTATCTGTTTCCACAGCATTAGTGAAGTTTGGCCACCATAGCACAACCAGCAGCTTTTTCAGACACACGAGAACCAGAGCAGATTTTTCCTCCAGCTGAACAGATGTAGATTTTTTTTGTTAAAGATATAGTCATTAATTGCAGTCAATATAAACGCAATTTATAAAGTACTGTGGGGAAACATCCCTAAACCCCCAAAGTAGTTATCATGTGTTTCTTTTCAAATAGGAATTGAAGTGAAAAATGAATCATAAATATTGTTGAGCGCGCACATGTCTGAGCTATTATTGGATTTTCAAAAACACCTACAGTGGCAGAACCGAAAACCCCGAAAGTGCCAATTTCATTTGGGTTTGATGGACTACTGCTAAAAGCTACTCTGAGATTAAGTCTGAGATAACAACTGTTGCGATTTAACAATAATGAAAACGGCTACACGAATTTACAGATTTACTGACCATGGAAGAAATTATTTAAAAAAATTATAGTTTGGATCTGGATTTTGAGCAACTCATAGCTGGGGTCGGGTCAAAGGATGTGGTGTCGGCTAGGTAAAATCTCTATTTGCTTTTGTTTTGAATTCTTTATCAAAGGTGCTAACTCAATCCTAAACATGATATATGCTTAATGCCTATGGATGACATACTGTATCGTGTCTGGGCTCCAGGACTGCTTTTTGACTGTATATCGACAATTACAGAGGTATTTCATATGTCCTTTTGTCACGGAAAGACTGTGATGTTAACCCTGTCTCGTTTGGAGATGTTTTGTGTCTTGCCGTGTCCTGTAGTCTGTTGTATTTTTCTTTGTTTGTTTGTCTTCAAGGTCATGTGTTTTATTTATTTATTCTACAAAAATATTAATAAAAAAAATAAAATAAAAAAATTGAATTTGCAGAGGAAACCATTTCTGAAAAGTTTCAACTGTAAATGCTATCCCAGGTTTAAAAGTAAGACCGTGTGCAATATTTTCTTTCTTGAAAGGTCAAAATTTAATCCCCCAATTGCAAGAAAATCAGGAAGAAATACGTTGACCATAAATGATACAAAGAGCTTTTTCACTTTGTCAATTCATGTTAATGTGGAATAAGATCCTAAGGTAGAATATGTAACGTTAAACAAGGATGAGGTGACTGCCTCTGCTACCACCTCTCTGCAGTTGAATTTGTTTTGTCTCTGTTTCAAAATTTCAAAATGACATTACTGGCTACAAACACTAATTAATGGGCGCTACTCTTGTTTTAAAAGTCAGAAAACTGCATAGAGCATGATGTCATGGTGGTACAATCACACAATCACACTGTTACAAGTCTGAGACAAAAAAAGAAGGGGCCTATAGTTACATATTTGTAACAGAAGTAACTGATCTTAGCACGGATGGGTCTAAAAACAACTCCAGGTTTGTTTTTGATGAATGTAACATGGTTAATAGATCAAAAAAGTTAATTTAAAGTCAATATAGAAAAAAAATAATCTTTGGTTAGAATACCTCCATAATGTAAGAAACACCAAAGCAAAAAATATGAGATTTGGACCAATTTGTCTCCAGATCAAAATGAGTTCAACACCGAGTTCTACAGAAATAAAATAACAGTTATCCAACCTGCCGCCGGTTGCGACGGTCCATTTGTCCGATTGTGCTCTTCACTTCCTCTTGCACGTTTCGGAGTTGGAGCCTCATCTCATCTTGTGTCAACTTCAACTCACTCTCCAACCTCTTTAACAGCGGCTTACAGTGGCAGCCATTGGCAGGGGACTAAAACAGACGTTAACACATACAGTGCATACTGATTAATAAATGTTAATAGTATGCTGTATGTCAGTAGCATTTATGGGTTGTATTCTTATTTGCTGTAAAAATGTTCAAATTAAAGCTAAGCAGTAAATATACAGTGATGTCAATGTATTACTAACAATTACAAACATAACACAGAGAGAATATGTCACAATTCCAGTCTGTACCTGTCGTACATTGCCGTCCTTGTCTCTGTACAATGTGTAGAGCTGGTATGAGTCTTTAAACTGGAGGTGCAGATCATCACTGTCTTCAAACTCGTGCTGTCTTCTAAAAACCAAGGCCGTGAGAGTGCATCGATTGGTCTTCCAAGTCAAATAGTCAAAACAGCTAATATTTTTAACAGGATCATTTTTTTATTGAGCTAACCTTCCGTCTTTTAAATGCTGTTTTCTATTAGGATCCTTGGCTTTTCTCTCAACCCAGATCTTGTCCTGAAAGTTGATGTAAGTATTATTTAGCCACTTAGACCAGACTTCACTGGAACATGTTCCTACTCTAATAACATTTAGGAGGTGTATAATGCAACAGCAGTGGCTGTTGAAATAACTGTAAGGTATTGCCTTCTGCTATAACACAGTAATGTAAGGCATTCCAAAACAGTCAGTAAAGTGCGTTAGATGGAATTTTAACCCAAAATTATTGCTGTTGTTGGGTCGTTTTTTATACTATGCCACTGTGAGATCAGCAATAGAGAACAAAAATGCAATAATAGGAGGCAGGCACCTCCTATTCCTTTCTGGTAGAAGATGGCTGAAGCTGAAGCTGAAGCAGAAGCAGACACTTCATCTGGCAAAAGTACATTTTCAAGATGGGCATATTCCCATTACTTTTAACTTTAATAATAATAATAATAATAATGTTGATGATAATAAATAGCCAAGAAATATCTGCAAATCTGCAAAAAATATTCCCCAATCTGCAAAAATATCCCCCAATCTGCAAAAAATATTTGCAGATTGAGGGAAAGAATTACCTTCTCTTCCTGTTTTCGTATTTTTTGGTTCTCATTGGAGATTGGACTGATGTCTTCTTTGTGTGTTTTAAATCCTTTTGATTTCTCCTGCTGTTCAACACTGGGGGCATCCTCTGTGGCTGAGCTGCTCCCCTGCTCCACAGTCTGAAACAACAATTCAGTGAGACAATGAGATGATTTTATCTTGTCTAGGTCTAATAATTATCAGGATTAGAATCAACTTTGCATGTATTTTAAAATGACAATAATTTATTCTTACTTGATTTGGTTCTGCTTCTACTCGACAGGCAGACTGACTTCTATGTCTTTCTCTTTGCTTTTTTATTGTTCTCCCTCTTAAAAAGCGATGCACCTGACAAATATTAATTTTACATAAAACATAATTACAAAGGAATACAATAATAATGGCCGTTTTAAATGAATGAATTACCTGAGGAGCTCGGGCCAAAACCACTGCCAGATCCTTGTGATTGTTATCTCTGGCTTTGTCGAGAGCTGTTCTACCTGCCTGTGCAATCACAGCATATGAAAATATATTAATGTTAAAACACCTTTGCCATTTTCTATATGTTACAAGTTTGTATAGGTATGTATTATGAACAATTACTATACGGCTCGTCACAAAAAAAGTTGAATGCTCCATGGATTTGAATATAATTTCCAAACGTTATACCTATATTTCTTGATAACGGACCTCTGCAGATGGCAACACAATTTGTACTTGTAATTCACATGTGTCAGATCACTTCGCAAGTAGTCCGGCCACTTTTTCAACGAGCTTTCAGCATTTACGCTATAATTATTTATTTCCAGAGGCGCCTGTCACTACTTCTGTCTCTGCGAGACAAGCTGGGGGAATCGCTCCCGAGGTTAGCAGGAGTTTGACTTTCAACTTACCCAGAGATACACCACCATTCCTCATTTCAAACTGCACCTTCAACAGGAACTTCCAGATTAATATAAATAAGTTGCTTGCCAAGCTATTACTCGCCTTGCCACGCTATAGTGTAGTCACAACGGCAAAACCTTGGGAACTATTTTATTTGCAGTCATTAAAAAAACCTTTCAGCATTTATAAAAGTCGGCGCGCGTCAAGGTCCGGTTCGCCCTGTCTGTACTTATTTTCCGATAATGACCGGCGTTCTATACATTATCCCTTACTTAAAATCTCAATGTTCATGAATTATTTTCATAACATCAAAGGTCTGAAAGTCCCCACTCATTTAGGACATGTTAGATCTATAACAAATCTATGATGCATTGTAAATGGTGCATTGCTCCACTAATTAAAATCCCCCCTTCCAAAGCCAACTGAGAAATTGTCTCTCCAGAAATAGTCTCTCCAGAAATAGTCTCCACCAACAGGGACGCCAAGAAGGCCGAGTACTCTGCACTGCTGTGCAGCCCGTGAACCGGCACGACAGTGAGAGACTTGTCGAAGCAGTTTCCTCCCAGATAATGCATACGCATGGCGGCTGAAATGGGAAGAAAGAGCAAGCCCAACTGAGCACGCTGCTTCTTCCTGTGGGAAAATGTCAGAGATGGGTTTGTGAGCCGGAGTTGCGTGTGGAGATGAGCCCAACAGTCTCTATCAGTCTCCTGCTTGAGCTCAGGCTCCTTCCCCCCAGTGAGGTGACACATGCCCCACTGGCTAGAACCAGATGTGTGTGAGGACTAGAGCATCAAGTCCCATTCTCATCTCTTCTCCCAACCCCCCTGAAACCCTCTGCATCCGCCCCATAGGCACTTGCATATGAGCCCCAGCTCCAGGCCTGGCTCCAGGGTGGGGCCCATGCTGCACCATGGATGATGTTGATTGAACTATTGATGATGGTTTCTTAAATCCCCAGGCAACATGGCTCTGCGGTCTATGGTGCAAACTCCCCCGCCAGGACAAGGTAGCTGTCCATTCAATAATAATACTTAATTGAGTAACCTAAAGTTAACATATAAAAACATTTAAACAGATCACAATATTGTAATTGTTTCATCTGTTCATGGTTTTTAAATGAAAGATTGATAGACACAGAGACCAGTGAATATTGAATATATTAGTCTGTGAAATGGAGAAATGTCATGAACAGATCGGCCACAGTGTGTTCTGAGGAGTACTTACATTGTTCTTGAGGTTTGCATCGAGTCCAGCCTCTAACAGAAGCTGAACCATTTTCTTATGGTTCAAAGCAGCTGCAATGTGGAGCGCAGTGTCTCCTCTCTTTGTGAACAAACGGAACAGACAGAATATACACAAACACGTGTTTACATTCCTATTAAGCAACTGGAGCCATTTCATCTATTTGTCTTGTTATGGTGTCATTTTGTTTTTCTGACGAGGATATCAGACTGATTTGTACATGTCACAAAGAAATCGTACACCATAAATCAGTACTGATGTCATACCTCATTTTTTTCTGTCAAAGAGCACTGAGAACTGATCAAGATTTTGACTATGTCTCTGTTGTCATAGCGAGCAGCCACATGCAAACACGTCTCCCCCACCTACGGAAGAAAACAAAATGTATTTGCAGGGAACTTGACCCTGGTTAAAGTACTACTTCTTTGTCTCACATTGTTTTTTGAGTCAATACTTGAGCCGAGCATAAGGAGGCGTGCGGATGGAACATGTGAGTTTTGCGAAGCCAAGTGCAGTGCAATGTTTCCTGCCTGTCAGATAAGATAAAGGGCTTTTACAACATTATTGAAGACACACAATGTTGTATGTAATTACATTACATATGAAATTGAAGTATTGCATTAATCACCCAACTGTGAGTCTTGATCTATTTATGTGTAACACAGCAAACAGTAGATTTTACACTAAGCTTTGACTATTTCATTGTGCATGTAATTAGAATATTGCAGTTGAAAGACTGAAAGAGAAATACCTTATTTCTAACATTGACATCAGCTCCGGTTTTCACCAATTGCTTGACACATGAGGTGAAGCCATGCCAGGATGCTTCATGTAGTGCTGTGTTACCATCCTTTAAAATACAATAATAAACACCCTTGAATTGAATGAGCTGGCATTTAATGAAATGTGTTGCATACCTTGTCCTGTAGGTCCAGAGCACAGCCGCCCTTTGTGAGAGCGGACACAGTGTCAGTGTCTCCCACCATTGCTGCTCGGTGCAGAGCTGTGCGCTGTCTCGGGCCCCAAAGAGAGACAGAAGCAGCTCCAATCAAAGCCTGCTCACTCATCACTGCTCGGGCTGTGGAAGCTGAAATATGTGTAACATAAAACGTGCAGTTTTATTTCTTCTAATATCTATTTCATTCACTTCATCCAGAGCCAGGCCTTGGATGCATTATAAGCAGATGGACAGACATCCATAACAATGCATACTTTCCTGCATGGATCCTGATTTCCCAGGCCGGCTGAGGTACGTTCCCTGGGTCTTACCCCAGGTTTGAAAACAAGACTTTACTTGAAAAACTCAAGTATAACTTTTCTTATATGTTATGTTTCCTCCACAGTTGAAAATATACAACAAACACAATATGGATGTTGACATATCCACGTCCTATTCCCTTGTGGTAGTATGAGGATTAGATAGCTATATGGCCTATGACCTACGCAGGTGGACAAATCTGTGGTAAATGAATCACACAGAGAGTTTATTAGGTTTCTCTCTCAGGTTCCAGTTGTTTCAATCTTTTCAGACAGAATAGTGTCAGCAAATGATTTTATAGTCATTGTTACGTCACGTGACGTCACACATCGAAAGACATGCGTGTCACATTCAAAGACAGTCAGAGCATATTAGTCATAGTCATAACATGGACACACAATCAGAGTCCTTGTAGAGTCTTGCGTTTGTCCACCTGCGTATAGGTCATAGGCCATATATAGCTATCTAATCCTCATACTAATATTTGGAAACCTACTTAAATGCTTAAACGTTTTGGCATTAAATGCCTTCAAATATTGCAACCTCTCAGTTGCTGAGGCTCAAGCCCTAACACAGCATGTGTATGGTATTCTGACCTACATGACGAAAGATTCCCCAGTCATGGGATTATTATCAATCTCTAATCTGAGGCGCTGATTCATAACAGCCTTACACAGACAATATCTACTCCACACTCTAATCCATCAACATGTATTCTGTTTTAAAGAAAATGTCACATTAGTATGAGCATTCTACATGTTTTGAGTCCCAAATTGACTCTCTCTTTGCAAAGACATAACTTAACCATGGTCAGCAACAATCCATGTTTGTCCAGAAAATTCACCAATAGTTCACATTAAAATGAAACACCACCTTTTACACCATGATTTTACAATACACAAATTAGAAATGCATTTGATAGCCAACCCATGTGTCACCTAGTCTTCCGAGTGGTCTCCCTTCTAACTACTGCCCAGGCTTGCATAGTTTTTGAGATTTGAAAGGTTATAGTAATTTTGTATTAGGAGCCACTTTGAAGGATCCTTGCTGTTACAATAACTGATACATTACACATTATAGACAGCACCACGGATGAATTTAAGCAACAAATGTATTGTATTTCTACACCAGGTTATGATAAGTGGATAGATTTTCATAGCCTAGCAAAAATACTCTCTATTCTGGTAAGTGCCTTGAATGCCTTGTTTGAACTGTTTGATTCTCTAATTCAACGGTTTTGTTAAGCCCACTGAAATTACTACTGTTGTGATTTAGGGCTATGCAATAATGAATTGAATTGAACGTGAATACTTTAATAATGAATGAAAGTCTTTCCAATTCAAAACTGAGCTTTATCGGATGTAATTTGCCGACAGCTTTCTTATGAAGGGAATTGATCATGAACAAATAGAAATAACTACCACCCTAATAAAACAACAAAACAACATTTTACCTTACTTTGTGAAGTGGCAGCCATCACGCCCAAAAAGAGCATCTGTGTAACATCCTTAAATGTTCCAGAGCAGCGTCAGTAGTGAGAGGGGGCCGCTGCTGCCGCTCTCTCTGCAGGGGTGGACAGCTGTTGTTGTGCATTAACGCTCAGGCTCTGTTCTGGTTGTGTCCAGGTTTAATCCATGACCTGCTCCTTCCTCACGGGATGCTCTAGCTCTCACTGATGAGTCCTGACACTAAGGTCTGACTTCTACTCTCGAGGGTGCCCCTGTGTGGATATTCCAACAACACATGGATTATTAGTATGTCACATGGTACAAAGCAAGAGCTCTTATGGTTTTCGGATATATAAAAATAACGGGTGGAGTCTTACATACAGTACAGACCAAAAGTTTGGACACATCTTCTCATTCAAAGAGTTTTTTTTATTTTCATGATTATGAAAATTGTAGATTCCTAGTTTTGAAGGCATCAAAACTATGAATTAACTCATGTGGAATTATGTACGTAGTAAAGAGGTAGTGACCTGAGATGGTCTTCCAACAGTCTTGAAGGAGTTCCCAGAGATGCTTAGCACTTGTTGGCCCTTTCGCCTTCACTCTGTGGTTCCGCTCACCCCAAAACCATCTGGATTGGGCTCAGTTCCGGTGAGGCCAGGTCATCTGGCCCAGCACCCATAACTCTCCTCAAATAGCACTTACACAGCCTGGGTGTGAATCTACAGTCAAGAATCATGAAAAGAAAGGAAATTCATTGATTGAGAAAGTGTGTCCCAACTTTTGTTCTGTACTGTAAATAAATTCCATTTTGAATGATATTCAAACTAGAGGTAGAGGACGAGTTTCTGCTGTTGCAAGAATTGTTTGATCATTGTTTGCAGGTTCTGGATTTCAGACTCAAAACTGGCAGCCCAAACAAGAGACTCACATAAGTCTTTCTGCTTTGAAACTCAACTTTCAAACAAGTTCCTTGTTCTGTAAAAAAAAACAAAAAAAAAAACAGCAGGCCACTACTTGTTTTCACTCGTAGTGTTGGCATTCCTTTTAACTTGCAAGACCAGTTTCACACAGACAACATAACTGCTTTCATTTTCTGTAACAGCCTTTTAATAAGAGAAACATAGCACACAAAATATATTGTTTGTAAAAATCACAATATACATACATAACCATTTATGCAGTACAATATTGCACACTCAATGTTGTGTTTTGCAATTACACATTGTACACAGCATACAAATAAGAATACAATTGTACAGTGCAGTGAAAAATAAAACGTTTTGCATTGACTGATTCCTTGTATTCACAGTCAAGTATCAACATCTGGCGATATGTCTCTGGCTTCTGCACGGTAGCAACCACTTCTCCTGACAGATCGTCCAAGCGGCGTTGGGAGGATTGCGACAAAGAATGTCCCTGACCTGGGACAATACACCAACATAATCCCTATAGGCAGTACAGTGGGACTGGGGCAAGAAGGTCATGGGTTTGAATCCTGTTCGGAAAAGGCCCCTTCTCAGACAGTACTTTGTTGAGCTTGGAAACGGTGTCATGGGTCACCATATGACCTTCTCTGTTCAATCTTCTACATACTTTCGTTATGTCTATTCCTTCTTTGTATCCAAGAGATCAGTGAGTGGATACAAACTATTTTCTCTAGCTACGGTCTCCAGTTCCTGTACTACGGTGACCACTGCTCCTGACAAGTTGTCCGAGTGGTATTTATGGATGGGTCAAACGTAGAGGACAGCAAGCAAGCGGTTTAGGATTGTCAATCTCTATGGACAATGCTGTGGTTGCATTAATACAATCTGAGCTTGAAGCATAAATCCAGTTATTTAAAGTTCTTCCTGTCGATGTGCTGGATAGAACTCAGGATCAACGCTGTTTTGACGCTCCATCATTTCCAACCACTGGTCATAGCTGTCTCTGTGGTGTTCTGGAGTGTTTGTGCCGTAGATGAAAGAGAGTAAATAATTTCTTATGTCAGGATACAAAGTGGAACTCTCGATAAAACGCTCAAACTGTTGTGTCAATTCTGGTCTTGGTGGAGGTGGAGGTGGAAGAGGCCGTCTTTTAACTAAAACAATAGAGTAGCATTATACATTACTGCTGGATTGATTTGTTGAGGGTTTTTAAGTACTTACCGTATTTTAGACAAAATATAATTGCAATGCTTAAGCAGAGAAGGAGCGCAATAACAGCAATGAATCCAAAAATGGCTGGTAGAGTCTTTTCCCAAAAAGTGCGATAGATGTGTTGTCCATCAAGAGTATTTCCATCTGTAAAAAAAGGAAACAAAATAAGTACGTTGTTAAGGCAAAAGTTTCCCTTTAACAAGGTATTGTGAATAAAGTCTGTAAGAAATAATAAACAGTAAAATAACTTACTCCAGTACATTGAGATATTGAAGCCTTCCGATTGTACAGCACATCCGTAAGTGAGGTGGGTGTTACTGAGAGAGATCAGGGCTTTCAACCTAATGACCCAAGTATCAGCAGAATCAGAAGGGAGTGGACCAACGTGCGAAAAACCCCACACATGAGTTGCCCCATTGCCGATCAAAAACACCGTCTTCACCGTGGGGTCTGATGTGGTCAAGTGACAACAGAGGACAGCGTCATTGGTCGTTTGCAGAGGGTTGGCAAATACGTGGAGATCTATGGAAAGAGACAAAAACAGACGGTTTCACTTTTGATGAACCTTTGCTGGATATTACTATGAATGATGTACTCTTCATCAGTATGTAGGTGAAACACTGAAAATTAGAATATCATTAAAAAAGTCGGTTTTTAAATCAACTTACAATGTGAAGCTAATATAGGAAAGTCTAATAACATGCAAAGTGAGATATATCAAGGCTTTGTTTGTTATAATGATGATTATTGGCTCACAGCTGTAAAAACAGAAAATGGACAGTAAGCCATAATATTTAAAAATTATTAACAAACAAAAGCTTGGCGAATGTTTTTTTTGCTTGTGATGAGTCTATGTTGGTTTCACATTTCACATTTTGTTGAATTACTGAAATGATATAATAATAATATAAATCAAAACAGTATTCTAATATTCAGTGAGGCGAGTTTCACATGTATGTCGATCACCAATGCCACAATAAATACTATACGTTAACTCAATATTTATTGTCTGCACAATTTCTTTCCTTAATATTCATGTAAGATTTAGCACAATCTGACATCCCCAAGTTGGACTCACGAAGACGTTATAACTCCTCCCTGAACCCTGCCCTTTACGAATGTCACCTGTTACTTTACTGCCCCTTTAAATTCAATCATGTTCAAGTAGTGTGTACTAATATATAGCAGTAATCTTAAGACATTTTATTACAGTGATTTTGTATTCCATATCTATTTTTACTTGTATAACTTGTTTGCCCCTTGAGCCAAAACACAAGGTATTTGAATGATACTCTCATTAGCGTACAATCCAAATGTTATAGTTTATTGCTCTATATTAAGCTTCAAAAATCCTTATTGTGTCCACTTGTACTCAGAACATGGAGAAACCTTTGGGAGCAATTCATCAAAATGCACACAACTGACAACTTCACCTGTTGATGGGTTGGACTTGAGAGTTATGAGTTCAATCATTTTGGTGCATTTAGTTATGAGGAAAACACTGTAGTCGTGGTTCTTCATCTGTTGTCCGTCCCATAGCTTTTTGATTGGTTCTGCTGAGAATGATTTAGCGGTCCATTTGTGAGTGTTACAGTCGAAATCCAAGAAGTCCATGCCATTCACAGCCCAAGACTCAAAAGAAATGATGTCGCCCTTAGAGGAGTGGCTGCACACACGCCTTCGCTGCACAACATCTGTAGAACAAATGTAAACATGATCCTTTAAAAACATCATTGTTATCAATGAAGGCAAAAACATATGAGTATTTTTTTCAGAATATTGGACTGAAATAAACAAATAAACATACCCACTGTAGTATTGCTGTGTTCCTTAATGTTGAAGATGGCTTCTATTATATTATTATGGTCTTTTTCACAGTCGACATCAGAAAATGCAGCAGGGTTCAGAAGACTTGTTTTGAAATGTTCTTTTTTGGTCACATCGCAAAACAATACTGGAATATTATCATATTTAGTGATCTGCTCAAAAACAGGTGTGTCTTTGGATTTAAATCGTCCTGTAGACAAGAATTCCAAACGGTGTGGCGCTAAAGAAAAACAAAATAACAATAGATCAGGAACATTATTTTGCAGCTAGAGCTACACATCTGAGAGCGTGGCCACATCACTTTTTGGTTCACTTCAACGAGTACAAATGCTTTGTTGTGGGCGTAAAACCAACAAACAAACAAGTGAACAGTCCACAGGTCACATAAGTCTGTTTACACATTTATAAACATATGTCACACCCTTTTCTTCCTCAAATGAAAGTGAAAGCAAGTTTAAAACTTTTTTCAAAGTTAGTAATTTTGCAAACATTAGAATATGCATGGGTTGATTGATAAAAAAGTTAATAACCATCTCTGCAAGACCCTAACATAACACAAGACTAAAAGGAATAATAATAATAATTGAAAAGAATCAACTTACCACTAGATCCCAGTGCAACAACAAGATGTGACACAAACACTATTCTTAATAGCTGCCCATCCATTATTGCTCATCCTATTTTCAGGTTTGTTTAGAGAATAGAATCTGCTTCAGTTTTTTTTATCTAAATGCACAACAGAACCGACGCACATTCAGACAGCATGTAAACAGGTCCCTCAAGTAAACGCCTAGTAAGTGCTTAGCCAATCAGAAGAAAAGGAATAGGATATGGAGTGATAGTGGAGTGATGCCTTTGGTATGGAAAGTACCAAGGGTGGTAACATTTAAACATCAGAATCAGAATCAGAATCATCAGAATCATTTTTATTGCCACGTAAGTAACAAAGTTACCACTTGGAAATTGTTTTGGCAGGCGTGCCACTTTGCCATTTGCGGCGCTGTGTCACATGTCCAAGGGATTCTGGATGTTGCACATTTTTACATGTTTACAGCCATAAACACATTTTATAACAAATTGGTTTCCTGAACGTTCACACAGACAAGTAACAGACAACTATGAAGTGAAAGCATTTTTCTTTTTTTTCAAATTATCTAAAATGAAGATAAAGCTGTGCAGTTTATTTGTTCAAAAGAATAATTTGTGATAATGTGTGTCAGGACATACCCATAATGTAACTAAGTGGCCATCGACATAACTACCTGGGTTTGCAGATAACGTGATAACAAAAAGTCAATAATCTCAATATTTAATTGGCTGGTGATTCAGTTATTGGTCTGTTACACAAAAAAAGTCAATAAGGAATTGGGTCAGAGATGGTGGAAACCGGAGCACCTGGAGGAAACCGGAGCAACCATGGAGAGAACAGAAAGATTAATTTGAATTTGATTACGTTATTGGCACACCACCTTATCGTTGTCTACAGATGTGATCTAAAGATGCTGCAGACATCTGCTCGAAACTAGAATAAATTATGCATTATGTAACATTGTTATTTGAATTGTGAAAAAATACTTAAAATCATGAATTTGATCTGCTGCTAAAGATACAAACGTATCACAGAAGTCAGCACAGCCTTCATTGTGTTGTGTGTCTGCTGCCGAGTCAATAAATGATTATGTTAAACCAGTCGTTCTGGTTTTGACCAACTGCCAATCAATGCAAAACAACAAATCAAAATAGATGTGTGATAGAATGTGAGGGCGTGAAGTAAATCTAGTTGTGACACAAGTTTGAACCAGTTTGTCAACTTTTCATTTTTGCAAGAATTATTATGATAGCACAAAATGGTCTTAAGAATATATTGGACCGATTTTGTGAGCGTTGCATAATCATAATTCACTATATTTGGTCTTTAGAGATTACTTTTATTCATACACATTTGTCATTGTGGTAAAACACATGTATGTTTGTATACGTTTATAATTGTTTTTTTATTAATCAATCATGTGTTGAGCTCTCTGAAGGCAGTTGGATCCTCAGACTGTCTGACGGGGTTGTTGTCATTTCCAAACATCCATTAAGTTTTTATTAAACTTGGGAAATTTGTACAGGGTTTACCAAAGTGTTGTTTACAAAATGAAAGTTTGAAGGAATCCAGTTAAGGTTATCCAAAAATATTGAGTAGACAGGGAATAGTGGCTGTTTCAAAAGAGTTTTCTACGTTCCTGAGGAAGTAGACTTTTCCCTAGTGCTGCCCAAGACCATCTTTGAGTTTTGCCTTTGATATCTCAAGATTGTGTGTGTTTTTCCAGTGGCGTAAAATGAGCCTTTGTGTGTTATCTTACCCAGTAACCTTGGTGAGTTTAAATAACAAATAACAACAGTAATCAATTCTGAGTAGTTATACTGTTACACTAATGTTTATACTGTTGTCTCTGCAGGTTGTGGCCACATTGAATATTTCTAAGAAAATATAAAACATTGATAAAAGTGTTGGAGAATTTCATTATAACCCCACATCCCATTTGTCTGTAGGTCACTAGTGAATTTTACACAACTATCGATCAAAAACTTGTAAAAATGTGTTAACTAAAACAAACTTGTAGTCATTCTCTAAACAGTTTGGATCATCAACTTTCACAAGCTTGTATATTTGGCCTGTGTCACATCTTTAAAACAGTTTTTTTAGCCTGAGAAGAAAAAAGGAGCGCACCATTACACAGCCAATCAGCTCTTAGCCCAAATGGTCCAATAGTGACTAATAAAACTGTTTGATAACAATTAGATGGAACATTATGCAATCAATTACTCAATTGGTTGTTTAGCTTCAGAAATGTCAGTGATAGTTGAACAAATATATACATAGTTCCTACATGACGTCACTACATACGGGGATTTGCCGACCCGGCGCCATTTGTGTTGGCATTCTGTGGGCAAAACAATAGAAAAAGAAGCTGAAACGTGTTAATGTCGTGATAAAGTTGAAAATGGTCATCTCCTGCTGGGTCAATGGATGTTCAAATCGTGCCGGAGGTTCCGTTAAACTTGGATTTTACAGTATACCCATCATTAGACTTCATGAATGTGAGAAGACTAAGCTTTTGTCAGAACAACCACGGAGGTTATGGCTTGCGAAGATAAACAGGAAAGAAACTCCCTCAAAACACGCAAGAATATGCTCGGAGCACTTTGTGTCAGGTGCGTATCGTATCTCATAATGTGTTGACAGACGTAATTTACTCAGTACTAACTTGTGTATGCTGATATCTGGTAACTTGAGAGTTTCATTATTTAGCGTTAGATTACTTTATTATGAGGAGGATCGGTGTCGCGTCCGAGGCTCTCGAGGGCAACGTAAATGTATTAAATAGATAATAATAGTTCTATGGTGGGCTAAAACAATGTTCACAAACAGCATTGCTTCTGTAAAAAGATCTGTGTCATAAAATAAACTGCTCTTTACGCCTGGAAAAATCAGTTGCCCACCATTCACCAAAACATACGGTCAAAAACGCGGAAATAAACAATAACAGCAATCCAGAGTGTCCGTGTGGCATTAGCATTAATTAAATTAATTGTTAATATAATTAAAATAATTAAATGGAGCTCCAACTGGTATTAAATCTAAAGTTTTTGAGAAATGTTTGGATTGCTTGTTAATTTTTGCTGCATAATTTGATCAAATATGTAAAACATGTCCGTAGTAAACTGTGGTGCCATTGTATTAATATACAATTATTTGCTCAAAAGTTGCCCTTTTTTTCCAATTTGCGTTTGAATATCTACATTTATTCTCATTCTTCTGTTTAATGGAATGCACAAACACAGCAGCGTGCCATCAAAGATGGCGTCTCCGAGGAGGTCATGTGACATTCATTGGTCTGTGGGAACTATGTATTAACTATATCAGTGTCTCCCAAAGTGGGGTCCGCGGCCCCCTGGTGGGCCGCGAGGGTACTGCAGGGGGGCCGCGGGAGGTCATAAAAAAATAAAAATAAAAAAAATAATTATTTAATGTTAAATTTATAATGTTTTGTTTGTAATATTAAAATATTTGTGTTCATTATTTGACTTGCATAATCCACTGTAATCATTTTTGTATTACAATGTTTGTAGCAGAGGCTATTTCCCCAAAATAAAATAACCAGAAGAGCCTATTTTTAATGTTGTCTTCTTGGTTATTATTTTGGGGGGGCCACGCAGACCCGTCAGATTTTTAAGGGGGCCTCGGTGTTACTGAGTTTGGGAATGGCTGAACTATATTAATGATTAGTTGTTGCAGTCGTATAAGATAGAATGTTTTCTCATAAGCAAAAACTGCATATTGATTGCTCTTACTCTTGTCGTCTTTCTCTAGGGATACACAAAAATTTATTAAATAATTGTTTCAGAACAATATTGTTAAAATAAAATGTAGAATAATTATTTTTGTGGTATAGTTTATTATTAAAAAATCCCTTCAAGCATTTCTCCTTCAAACCCATATTCTCGTAGTAATATATATCTGAAAGGCAGTCTCCAGTCCATGCAGCGTTGACCATAGCCAGGACCCAGCTCGGCATGGCTCGCTCCTCTCAAATATCAGCGAGGGGAAAGTTTAGCTCCGCTCGCCCCTTTTAACACTCCGACTGCAATCTGAGCAACATGTCGAGCAGCCAGCAGAGCCCTGAGCCCGGGGAGGAGGACAGTGACACCGGCTTGGACTACTACGATGATGAGGACGAGATCGCGGCGTTCGCAGAGGCTCAGCTGGGCGGCGAAGACGGAGGTGAGGAGGCGGGCTTAGGAGCTGTGTCCCCGGGCAAGGTCATGGAGGGAAGTACGGGTGGTGGCAGCTGACTGTAACGCAAATAACAATAACAATACGATTTATAGTTTCGACTCACCTCTGCAGCTACTGCACAGAACACAAGTTTCATTCAGCCATAGTGTGTAGCATGTTGGAGCCAAACTCAAACTTCTGCTTGGCTAGCTTAGCTTCACTTTCCTTTAAAAAGTAGCTAGCAAAGTTGGAAGGGATTTTAATTTGAACTGGAGAAAAAAAGTCTGAGTATTGTACACAGTTCATTCATATTGTTCCAAAACTAAAAATGTGTTAGTTATTTTAAAACCTTGAATAAACTTTTAATATTTGCAGAAATGTGTGCGCTGTGACGCACGTGGCTCATGAATATTTTATGAGAAAAAATGTAGTAATGGGCTAAAGTTTATTATGCAGCATACTCAATAATTAATTATTTCCTATGGTTTTCACTGCCCGCGGATTTATTATATATTCGGAATATATAGTATTTATTTCATGGTGCATGGCTTCAGCATGAATGTGAACTCATTTTTAAAGAATAACCTGATTAACACCACAAGCAATGATCCCTGCATATCAGTAGTTTCACTGGAGTAAATGCTATAACTAATGGGGGGCATTTTTTTGGTTGTTAGAAAAGTCTGTTCCAACAAAGCCCTTCTAACTGGAAACTACTAACGTATTGGCACAAAACAAACACATTTAAATTTTTTTTGTATAGTTCACATTTACCTCAAAATATGACGTACTGTCAGCAATGCCTGTGTGATTAATGCTACAACACACTTGAATAAGTCTATTATTCTCAAATAATCTTACAACTGATAACAAAACACATTGAAATGCTATCTTTATCTGTTTTCAGAATTAGCTTTCAATGGTTCCTTAAATGGAGAAGTCAAACCTCGGATCTTGCTCATGGGACTGAGGAGGAGCGGAAAGTCCTCCATTCAAAAAGTTGTCTTCCACAAAATGTCCCCAAACGAAACACTTTTTCTGGAGAGCACCAATAAGATCTGCAGAGAAGACGTGTCCAGTAGCTCCTTCGTCAGTTTCCAGATATGGGACTTCCCAGGACAGATCGACTTCTTTGACCCTTCCTTTGACTATGAGATGATCTTCAGAGGAACAGGCGCTCTCATTTTTGTCATTGACTCACAGGTTTGAACTGAACCATCCCATTTCATAGTTGTAATTTTAAACATACGAATTACATATATATACTTCTTAAAACATTTTGATTGATATGCATTTGCTACTGATCAGGGTCACAACTCATGATTGTGCCAAAATGCCTGGCTGACACTGCTGAATCATCCATGTATCACTACCAAACAAAATAAAGTGAGTGCTTGTTAATTGTTAGGGATTATTGGGGATTAGGCCAACATCGTAAAGGAGCAGAATGTGGTCTGCACACCTTCTTTTTTAATAAAATAAACAATTATAACAAAACAATTACATTACCATAATCCAAACCAACCTGTTTCAATTGGAGAGATAAACATAAATGACAGAGAGCTACTCCTTCTAGCAGTTGTAATACAATTTTTGTCTATATAATAACTACAGCCAATCATGGAGAACTCACATGCATGATATACCATTATACTATACAGTGTCCATGCATTAATGAAGAAATTTATAGTTAAAATAAATAACATAAATGGGTGAATTCGGGATTATATGTTAATTCACAGTTTTTCCAATGTGGTTTTACTGCAAATGGCAAATAAATGAATCTGATAAATACTTTAATCCTTTTGGGAGCTACCTGAAAGAGAGTGGCAACTGGTAGCTTGCGAGCCAGAGAATGGAGTCCCCTGATCTAGCCCTTTGCATCAAATCTCCCTGGATGTTAAGCATGCACAGAGTTTCTGCGGTTCCTCCAGCTCGGATTACTGATGTGGTCTTCTACAGTGTGAGGTAAAGGAAGAGAGCAAACCAGCTGAATTTCACCAGGGAATAGCTGCAGTTTATGTTGTCTGCTCGGGACAACAAATGGAAAGAAGAGTCATTTCTACTACACTATTGGGACATCCCTAGTGTGCAGATGCTTGTCACTTAAAAACTCAAGTGTCATTCCTCAGATGTGTCTTCCCTTATTTCCAGGATGATTATGTGGAAGCCCTTAGCCGACTGCACCTCACTGTGACCAGGGCTTACCAAGTCAACCCCGACATCAGCTTTGAGGTCTTCATTCACAAAGTGGACGGGCTCTCAGACGACCACAAGATCGAGAAGCAAAGAGACATCCACAAACGAGCCAATGACGACCTGGCAGACGCGGGCCTCGAAAAAATACATCTGAGGTAGAAACACATTGTGCTCATAGAGAGGCATGTAACAGATAGATACTTCACATTGATGCCAAAGTGCGGAATACTGTCTTTTAAACATATTGCATTCACTCAATGTACTTGTTTCTGATTTCTACATTGCTATGTTTTATCCTCAGTTTCTACTTGACCAGTATTTATGACCACTCCATATTTGAGGCCTTCAGTAAAGTTGTTCAGAAACTCATCCCTCAACTGCCTACGCTGGAGAACCTTCTCAACATCTTTATTTCTGTGAGTATTGTATGATTGACCCATATTAGAGCTAACCTTTTTCTTTTAATACAATACAGACCACAACATGCTTATTAGAAAACATTTTATATTTAGAATTATTGTAAAACATATTATGGCTCTTGAGCTGAGAGCTGACTGGCTAAGTGAAGGTGGTCCTGTCGTTTTCCTTTTTCAGTGTAAACAAGCTAAGGCTATAAATACACACATGTAAAAACTGGTGATAGAACCAAACTGTTTTAAGGATCGATTTATTGAGATTAGTTACATTTTTGCATTTGACATTTTAGGCACCGAGTAATTACACATGTGTACAATTAAATTACGTGCATTTTTAGTCTAATTCCCCTTTGTTTTTTTCTCACTCAATGGTTTATATGTTTATATTCAACTAAACATGGTCTACTGAGAGTGAGTGAGCACGCGTTTTTGACGTCTCTGCTCTGTTTACCCTTTTAAGCCTTTTAAAGCCTTTTAAAGCCTTTTAAACACGTTTTTACGGTGTATTAGTGTCTTTTGTACACTCTAGTGTTTTTACCTTAAATGCAATGGTTCCAGAGCATCACGTCTTTTAACACAAAGACCCAATCGAAACGCGCTAGCTCGGAGGCTACCACGAGCGCACCACAGACATGGAAAGTGACACTGCAATGACCACGAACGACATTAGTCGCCTCACATTGGAGCTTCGTGAGAGGGACCGTGCCACTATTGCAGACCTCCGTAAAGAAGTCCTTCGCCTCACTGCAGAGCTGCAGGACAAACAGTCACTCGTGTCCAAACTTTTTGATGTCGCTGGCGGGCAGCACTCACGGCTTATGTCACTGAGCGCTGCATACTGTGACACTGTCGTGTGGGAGAGGTCTGTCAGCTCTGGGCCCTCCTGTTCTACACCTAAGCGCCCGGTTCCGAATGAGGAACCCGCGAACTGCGAGGAGCCATCCAGCGCCGTGGCCCATGTCCTAAGCCTGTCAAACCGCTATGCAGCACTCTCCACTGACATCCCAGCCCCCTCAGCAGAACCCCTGGACTCTGCAGCGTACTCTGCCGTTCGTGGATCCAGGTCCACTGCGAGAAAAACGCTCCTAAAGGAAGCCGTCCTCAGACGAAAGAGTGGTCATTCCCCTTCTCTGACCCCAGTGCATCACCACCACTTACCTTCACCGGGTCAGCAGCAGCGACCCGAGCCTGCTCCTCACGCCGCTCCAGCGTCCCCGAGCACACAGCGTGGGTTGCCCGGAGCTGAGAATCAACACCCCCGCTCCCCTCCATGTGTTCAGCAGCGCCCTGGTTCGGACTCATCCCTGGATGAGCCCGCTGGTTCCGGCCATGGACACCGAGCGCCTTCTCCGCGGCTACGTCCACTCTTCGCCCCGACTACTTTGATTGTTGGAGATTCCATCGTGAGACACGTCCGCTTTTTTAACGCGGTCACTCAGTGTTTTCCCGGAGCCACTGTACCAGACCTGCTCATACGTCTCCCTCCTCTGCTTCAGTCCCTGCCTGATACCATTTCAAAGGTAATCGTGCATGTGGGGATCAACGACATGAAGCTGCAGCAGTCCGAGGTCACAAAGAAGCATTTTATGGATCTATTCCGTCTTCTCCAGTCCTCTGGGTTGTGTGTTTTTATCTCTGGTCCAGTCCCGACTGTAAACCGGGGAGACTGCTTGTACAGTCGCGTTGTGGCGCTGAATATGTGGCTCCAGTCTACATGCAGCACTTTTAACTTTGTTTTTGTGAACAACTTTGGCCTGTTCTGGAAGCGTCACGTGGCCTATCGTCCAGACGGTCTGCACCCGAACAGATACGGCACCAGTTTGTTGATGGACTTTTTACGCCATGTTGTTCAGTGCTCCCCGAGGGGGGCGTGACTGTTTACATCCGAGGCCTCTCGGCCCCCACTACCACCTTCCTCCTCCACTCCAGCACCGGGTGAGTACTGTGGTGCAAACACTGACCCCTGTCCGTCTGGCAGTGTAATACCAGTCCTGCCACTGAACGGCACTTACTCAGTCATGCATCTGGAACTTAACAAAGTAAAACAGAGTTCACTTTTTAAACCAATAGAGACAGTGTGTGTTCCTCGCACCGGCTCAGAAATGTGTTTTAATTTGAATAAACACAAATATAACAGAAGGACAGCAGTTAAGCCCAACGCACACCGAAACGCCTTGACGCGCGGCAAAAGAGCCGCCTCCTTTATTTTCTATGAGAGAACGCACACCAAGGTTGCAGTGACGCGCGGCGACGCTGGACCGGGCGCCACGATTCAGTTTTGTTGAATCCAGACGCGGCGCCGCGGCTGAAACTGTCCCTCCAAGCACCCGTAGTTTTCTTCTTCTGCGCTTCTTATCACGTAGCTGTGAGCGCGGTCTCAAATTTACACACTTGTCGGCGCTATTGCTCAAGTAAACCGGTCACAATGGACGAGGAAAGCTTGATAACCCAAGTACAGCGTTACCCAGAGCTAGTTATTAGCCTGTTTAAAAAATGGGTCCAAATAGTCTTTTCTTGTAATATTTGCCAGCATAATTTCACGTAAATACTTTGTTTCCTCCCCCAAAATATTAGTAGAAACTTCCAAACGTCACTCACCCATTTCATCTGCGATCAGCTGGAAAAGGACGCTAGCCAAGGCGTTCCGGTGTAATTTGACACATGACAAACTGGGCAACAAACGGTGTCATTTTTTGATCACAGCGCCGCTCAGTGGATGAAATTTTGGGAGAGCAGAACGCCCGAATTCTTTGTAGTCAATCAACTAAACCCACTGACACTGACATTATTTTTAACCTTGCTCTGCTTAATGTCAGATCACTATGCAATAAATCCTTTTTAATTAATAATTTTATCTGTTCTTATGATCTTGACTTTATGTTTATGACTGAAACTTGGCTTGACCATAATACAAAAAATGCAGTTTTAATAGAAACAACACCACCAAATTTCAAATTTGAATCAGAAATTCGAGAAAATAAAAGAGGAGGAGGCACAGCAGCAGTTTTTAAAGATTGTATTGTCTCCCATAGAGTACCTCTTGGGAAATTTTCCTCATTTGAGTATGTCTCTTTTAAAATAGAACAAAAACAATCTCTATTCTTATTATTGTTGTGTACAAGCCGCCACAGTCATGTCATAGTTTCACTGATCATTTCACCGAGTTGCTTTCAGTTGTGTGCACAGACTTTGATAGTTTAGTCGTCATAGGTGATTTTAATATACATGTAGATAACGTTAATGATAGATACGCGAAAGAGCTGAGCTCTGTGCTGGAAACCTTTGGTCTCACTCAGCATGTGAGTGGCCCCACCCATAGCAGAGGACACACTCTCGATCTGCTAATTACTAAAGGGGTTAATATCTCAAATGTAAATGTGGCCAATGTTGCTCTGTCAGATCATTTCTGTGTATTTTTTGATATGTGTCTCAATAGTAAAGCACGAGCTGAATCCTCAATTGTTAGAAGAAGAAGACACATAAACAAAAATACAGGTGAACTTTTCATGGGGATGATAAACTTTGATAACACGTTGTGTTCTACTGTGGATGAATTACTTAAATCTGTCACCTCTAGTGTTTTGGATGTTCTGGACACGATTGCTCCTGTAAAGGTCAAAATTGTTACAAATAAGCAAAAGGCGCCATGGACAAAAGCAGACTCTGTCAGGGCACAGAAGAGAGAGTGCCGGAGAGCCGAGCGGAAGTGGCGAAAGTCAAATCTCCAAGTTGACCATGAGATCTTCAAAGATGCATTGTGCAAGTTCAACAGTGTGCTACGTAGAACGAGGGAAACTTATTTTTCCGAAACAATCGAAGGTTGTAGTGGCAATCTACGCGTTCTGTTCTCAACGGTAAATAAATTGACAAATCCCCCTGTTAAGATGCCATCAGAGCTTACCTCCAAAACCAAATGTAATGAGTTTGCAGAGTTTTTTAATGACAAAGTCCAAGGCATCAAAAATGCCATCACCTCCACAGTAGAAATTACAATCCAACAGCCAGTGAAGCTTTTTGGGCTGACACACTTTACACCAGTACAAAATGAAACTGTCCAAATGATAATTACAAGTCTGAGTTCTTCTACATGTAGCCTGGATGTATTACCTCCTAGATTTCTTAAATCTGTTCTGAGCAGTCTTTTACCTTCACTCACGCATATAGTAAATATGTCTCTTGAATCTGGAACATTCCCAATGGCCCTGAAAACGGCAGTCATCAGACCCCTCCTAAAAAAGAGGAGTCTGGATGCCTTGGCACTTAAAAGTTATCGGCCCATTTCAAATCTGCCTTTCATGGGTAAAATTCTAGAAAAAGTTGTCTATCAACAACTTACAGAATTTTTAATAATCAATCACTCTTTTGATATGTTCCAGTCTGGTTTTAGACCCCACCACAGCACAGAGACCGCTCTAGTGAAGGTAACAAATGACATCAGACTTAACACTGACGCAGGAAAAGTCTCAGTTCTTATCCTGTTAGATTTGAGTGCTGCTTTCGACACTGTCGATCATGGTATCCTCATTCAGAGACTTGAGGACTGGGTTGGTGTTTCTGGAACAGCCCTAAGCTGGTTTATATCCTACCTACAGGACAGAAAGTATTTTGTGGAGATCGGAAACTGTGTCTCAGACCATCTGGCCCTGACCTGCGGAGTGCCACAGGGCTCAATCCTGGGGCCTCTCCTGTTTAATATTTACATGCTGCCTCTGGGTAGGTTAATACACAGTAATAACGTGTCCTATCACAATTACGCTGACGATACTCAGGTCTATGTGTCCCTGACAGCAGGAGAACATGGACCAGTGGACTCGCTCCTTCACTGTATCCAACAGATCAGTGATTGGATGCAAAATAACTTTCTCCAGCTAAACACAGAAAAAACTGAAATTATTGTTTTCGGACCTCAGAAACAAAGAGAGAGCGTTATCTGCCACCTCCAGTCTCTCTCCCTGAAACCCTCAACTCAGGTCAGAAATCTAGGAGTAATAATGGACTCA